GTGCGGCCATCTTCCAGCTGCTTGCCGGCAAAGATCAGCCTCTGCTGATCAGGGGGAATGCCTTCCTTGTCTTGGATTTTGGCCTTGACATTTTCAATGGTATCACTGGGCTCAACCTCAAGGGTGATGGTCTTGCCAGTGAGGGTCTTAACAAAGATCTGCATCTTTAAGCCTTTATAAAAGGGAAAAGAAAAAAAGAGGATATGTGAAAAGTCTAAATCTAAAGAAAATAAAAATAAATAAGTCACTGGAACTGAAATCCATGTAGTAGAGTGGGAAATTATTGTTTTTCAAAATTATTATTATTATTAATAATTATTAACTATTACCAATATGGAGAATATACAGTTATGATTTCATTAGACAGGGGCTAATATCATAAAGTAAGTTTGAATTGCGTTACATGTTAAAAATGAAAAAAAAAATTCATGTAACGTTCTTCACTACCAGCAGTTCAGCAGCCATTTCATTCAGAGCGCCATTTTGAGATCGTGTCGTTGACCTTTCCTTTGTTTGTCTGTCCTTAACCGTTTATAAGACATAGACATATAGCTTATTTTGACCGATTAACACTTACGAAAACAAATTAACGGCAAATAGGCCGAATACATAAATCTGTAATGTTTCATTTGAATATGAAAGAACTGAAATGTAATCAACCTACAGACGAAAAATACACGAAATGTAATACCAGTACTGACTAAAACCCAGTAAAAACAGTGTTAATTTACTCAAAAGACCAAATTTACTTAAATTAGCGACAAGGGTCTACTTACTGTTGGGTTACAGAGGAAAAAGCGTCTCCTTCGGTTATGTTGGGTTGCGTGTTTGAGTTGTACTCAAGGTCTGCGGCAAAATGGAGCTGCACTCGTATATAAACTGACTTCCACGTCATCACTTTATATCCATCCGCATTCAAAAGTAGTTCCAAACGCAGCGAACTGTACCCTCTCAACGATCAGAAGCTACCTTATTTTACAAAAGAAAATATTGTTTTTTAATAGAAATTCCCTTTCAAACAAAAAGGCGTCGAAAAAATTAGCTGGGAAACATTATTGTGTCGTTTTACACAGCGGAATAATATCCTTGATACACGAAGGCTCTGTGCCCAGAATTTTCCAGAACTCACCACAGCAACAGCGAACTTTTCCTCCATCTGATTGGATAGCGCAATTGTTTGTTTGACCAGCGATTGGTTGCTGACTTACAGTAAGTAATGTTTCATGACTAAGTGATAATCGACCTATTTCAATGAAAACTTGTATAAGTCTGGACTATGACCAGACTTATACAAGTCATTATGGTCATTAAAAAACTTCTGAAAAAGACAACATTCTATTCATAGAATATATATAATATATACTGCCTGAATGACTGCATTTTGAACTCGTACTAAACGTACCGACAAGAATTGCATTGATCATATTCAAACAGGTTTTGTTAACAGATTGGTTGTGTACTTATTCAACCGGCTACTGGGACACCAGGATCCTGTTTTACTGAGGGAAATAGTGGCTTTTATTCCATCTGATTGTTTTTCGATTTTGCCATGGTTATCATTCATAGAGCATAAACAGATTATGGTATTCCTGAATATTTTAATCACTACTGGAATGAAGGATAGAAATGATCCTGATAGCCAAATTGCTATATATTTAGCTAGAGCTAAAAGAGCTGGGTGGGTCAGACAAGATTTGATCTATTTTTAAGTATGTATAATTAGCTGTACACATAGGCTTGAATATCATGAGCATTTATGGTTCAGGTTAGTCGCCTATTCAAAGTGTATTACAGGAAATAGCTCTTCATACTGAAGACATAGGAAAATGTACTCTAATACCTCATAAAAAATGCCCTTATTTTAGCTGTATGATTTTTAAACGTGTCAGTGAAGTCAAAGAGCAAAGGCTCAGATGGTGGGCGTCTGAAACCTACTTGGTCTCCGCTTTTGGTTCTTAGATATTATCTGTCTCTGTGAGTCCTAAGATATGTATTTGGGTCACAGCATTTCTCATACCCCACCCATTCAGCAACTTGTCATATGACACCGAACCCGTGATGCACCGTGTTGGTGCTTTCCAACTCAGGGCCGGCTGATCTAGTTCAACCTCTTAGGAATGTGTTTGTGCAAGTCAGCTGTACTTTGCTCTGCCTCTATCTGGAAATAATTATTGACCATCCTCAAAGTGTTCCAGGAAAACAACTCAAGCAGGAAAAGGTCCTAGCCATGGGCTTTGTATATGTTATTCTAGTAGAGCACTGCAGCGGTATACACATTTATAACATGAACTAAAAGTTTTTCAGAGCATGCCACAACCAATTCCATGTAAATATACAGCTGACATATTTGTAGCAGGCGTGATTCACATGTATGGCAAGGTGAAAGGTTGTCAGTGTAAATGTGTCCTTTATCAGGTATGGACTTTAATCTGGCTCATATTGTGTTCCTTGGCAGGACGACTCGAACTTTTGAATGGGACAGCCACGTCAACAGGTTTTGCAAAACACGTCACACAACTTCCAGCCGACCTTCTTTTAAGTTTTGGGGTAAATACAGTAGTTTGGTCGTTTTCCCTAATGTTGATGACTGACTGTTCTGGAAAAAAATCAAATCTGAAATTGTTTAGAAATTCTTTCTGATGTTTTTAATTTCATTTACAGAATGGATCTTGTGAAACACGAAGGGGGCTGCCACTGCGGGGCTGTCAGATTTGAAGTCTGGAGTTCATCAGATCTCCATGTTTTTCATTGCAAGTAAGGAATAATTCTTCACATAAAAAAACAATCTATTCTTAACTACAATAAGTTTTTTCCTGCAGTTTCTAAGCATATAAACATGAACGAATTTCCATTCTCAGCTGTAGCATCTGCACAAAAAAACAAAACCACCACTTCATTGTTCCAAAAACCAGCTTCAAACTCTTACAGGTGAAAAATCGCCATCAAACAAAAGGATTTAATACAGTTTATTTAGAAAAATGAAAAAAAACATGTGTTTTTTACTTTTCAGGGGTCGGATAATCTGACGACATACACCTTTAACACCCATGTTGCAAAACACACCTTCTGTAAAACCTGTGGAGTTCAAAGTTTCTACACGCCACGCTCTAACCCAGATGGATATGGTATGACCCCCAGGGTGCTGGCATAAGCGTTCATTAAGGTCTTCTGTGTTGCAAACTGTTTTCCTCAAACCAACAAGCCCAGGCTGTTCTTTAATAGTCTTCTATTAGCTGTTATGTTCAAAACAGGATTGTAAAAGGTGTTTGTTAGTGTTACCAGGAAACAGAAATAGAAACTCGTTGCTTGGCCTTACGCAGCCCGTTAAACCAGTTTGTGACCAAGATATGCGCGAGACTAGAAGATATTTTTGTTGAGATGCAAATCAGTGAACCGCCCGTTGTTTTTCTGTTTTCTTTCCAGGCGTTGCTCCGCACTGCCTGGATCCAGGTACGGTGCGCAGTGTCACAGTGGAGAACTTTTGTGGGGAGCAGTGGGACGAAAGCATGCGAGCTCATAAGAGCATCAGAGACATGTCCAAACCTGCAGACAACACCCATCCAGAACACCACCAATGATACCACAAACTAAGTTTATACGATTAATACATAAGAAAAAGTCATACAACAATCCAGAGAAATATAACAGTGCTTCTGTCTTCTGTCTACAGTGTTTAGACTTAAAAAATAAAGTAGTTTTTCCACTGTCAGTTTAGTTTGTCAGAACTGTTTTGAAAAAGATTCAGCAGGTGAAGACAAATCCTTCCAGAGTAAACCGGCTGAAATCTGCACAATCAGGACGTCGGGAGGAGGGAGTCTTTTAATAGATCTTAAGGTTCTTTGGTCCCTGCGGAATCATGTGGAATGTGTTTGCGAACATGTAACGAGAGAAGGTGATGTACAGATACCGAAACCACAAAAGTTGAGTACGATGACACAACATGGCAGCCTGAAAAAGAAAAAGAGAAGACGCGTTATGACGATTCTAAAATGAGAGCTGATGCTCTTTAAACCCTGAGCAGTTTGTGAAAATGAGCTGGTGTACACATCATTTCAACTGTTGGCTCCACACTTTAATCGTAATTGGTTTTACTAACTTTACGTCTTGCTTCATCAGCACATATGTGGTGTATAATCTCATTATGGTGTGCTAAGAGCATGTGCGCCGCCTGAGAGTAGACGGTGACGTGCTTTGCCAACAAACTCGTCTGCTCGGCGGCTTACTTTGGCTCGCTTGTAGCCCTTTGAGCCAATAATACAGCGGAGATGTGAGGGCAGCAGCCAGCTGAGGGGAAGCTCCAGGAAGGACGTGTACTTCCTGAGAAGGCCAACAGTCTCCAGGGCGAGGAACACGCAGTCTGGGAGGAACGACAGAGGCTCAGTCAGCTGTTAAAGTAATCAACCGCTCATGACAGAAACACACGGGCCATTGTCCAGGCAAAAAACCCGACAAATCCTGCCGTTCCCCATGTTCACGGGAAGGAGAATAGCGCTGCTTTTCTGAGCTCAAGTCCAGCATTACATGTAAGAGCACAGATTCCTAATGCAGGATGAAAGCTTTTGTCTATTGTTTCAAATATTTGAATGAAGCCGGAGTGTAAAGGGCACACAAACTCTGTGAGTAATTAACAGGGAGGCTTGAACAGCCAGATGACGAGGCTTAACGTTTGGACGGAGCGACCAGAAGGACCTGTAAAACGGGAGGGCTGGAAATGCCTTGTGAGAGATAAAGAACAAAGCTTGCACACATTCCCGTCTTAAACAGAGCAATTGTGACTGTGGCCAAAAAGCTTGAATTTCCTGAAGCCTTAGGGCTGAGTTAATGCCTTCAAACCATTAAATCAGCTAAATGCAAACTTTGAATCAAAAACATGTTTACTTCTTATCCCGAAATCTACTTAAGTTTCATTGCTTGTGTTTACCCTTTGGGTTTTTTCCAAGCCAGCAAAAAAAAAGAAAAAAAAGAAAAAGGAATGAGCCTGGTGTAACATTAATCCAAATGACTGACATCATAGGAGGTAAATGAGGGTAAAAATTGAAATACATAACAGAGGCAGAGATGCATGATTTGTTTTCTGTCAACAACACAAATTCAAGCAACAGCACTGTAGCTGGAGGGCATATTTGCTGGTCTCCTGCTGTCACCAGCAGACTGAAACAGGAAACTGGAGATTTATTTGAACAGGAGAGGGCGCTGTACATTTACAAAAACGCCTAGTGGAGCTGTTGGCACATTTATGATCAAAAAGTTTCCCTTCAGAAAACATCTTTTCTGGGAGTGACCGGTGAATCGGAGCCCATAAAAAAACAAAACTCTGAGAAGTTTTCGTCGTATCACACTCACCACAGGGCACTTCTCCTGTGGAAGCTAGGTGTCTGTAGGAAACAAAAACAAGGGTTAGTTGCTGAAAAGTGGAATATGCCATATACCAGAGGAAAAAAGAAACTTCTACACTTTTGCAAGAAATATATATATATATATTTACTTATTACTTTATCGTAATAAGGGGGAGCACTCTAAAGTTTCCTAGAGTGTACACAAACCGAGATAAACTAGTCAGTGGCCCTTCTCGGATCCAAACTAAATTCAATCACGAGATGTGATCTGGAGAGTTTAATTTTTATTTAACAGATTTTGACTGAGAGCCATATCAGGAAAAATATGTCACCACCACCATGTGAGCCTGCTGGGTCGGTCTGCCCAAACCCAGCTCTGCCCTCCCTCCTGACCACTTCAGGGACAGGATTTACGGCCGCTCGCTCGGAGCTGAGCCCAGAGCCTCTGCCGGCTCTGGTTGGACGACCTCTCTGCTATGTAACAGATCGGTTCTGAAAAAACACGATGTGTTTGTGTGCGTGCGTCTCCGTGGGGAAACATTTGGAAGGACGCTTGTTGTTGCGAGTCCAAATATTTAGCATTTTCCTGGAGAGAGTTTTATGATTGCGAGGTGGTCTGATTTCAGTGTTTTAACCGCACAAAACCCCAGAGGATTCAGAGGATTTTTTTTATTCTGACAGCGAGGCGTCTAAGTCCAGTCCTTACCTGACAGCTTTATGGATGGATATATGATTGGCATGGCCGCTCACCCCGCTCCCATCGAAGGTCAGCACCTGAAAAAACAAAACGCCTCACGGTGTGGGTGAAAAAGCAGAATCCTGGTGTCTGAAAGAAAAGCCAAATAAACCAAGGCAATAAAAAGGGAGAGGCTTGGGGTTTTGGGGAAGGCCTCCTGTGTGTGAGTGTGAAGCTGCACGGCAGCAGAAAGACGGGTATTTCAAACCGTTTCTTGGGTGTGCGTCTAAATATGAAGAAAAGAAAAGTAAATAAATCCATGTTGTAAAATGGGAAATAGATTTTTTTAATGTAATTAAAAAAATAAATATGAAGAATGTACATTTAAGATGAGGGTAATATTGAAAGTGTGTGTGACTAAATGTTGGAGATGCTGTGCTCAGGTGTACTCAGCTTAGCAAAGGTTACTGGGAGAGGTTTGAGGAAATAAAATGAACCTGCTGTTTGATATTTCTTTGCTTTCCCATGACGAATTTTTATTAGACCAGATGTTTAATTTTTTTTCTCCTGTGTATGAATATCCAGCCCCCCCTTCATCTAACTGTGCTGACCCCCCACTCCTGTTTTGCCTATTTTGTAACAGCAATGATATTTTTTGTGGATGTTGAGGTAAACAAAACAAAACACATAAAATTGCCTCGTTCCCTTAAACTAACAGCACGGAACAGGGAGCGGCTCAGGGGCCGATAAGCATCTCTGTGTAAACACTGAAATTGAATTCAAACTTTCTGCTGCTGCAGAGGCCATTTCCTCTGGTTTCCAAGAAGCTAAAAATGCAGTGTGGGTCCAAAAAAAAGTAAAGAAAAAAAGAAAGAAAGAAAAAAAAGAGGTGGTGGCTGAAAGTCATCATTACGCCGGCCGCAGTCAAACAGGGAAAATGAAGAAGGAAGCTGCGGTGCCAAAAACACATGGCCAAAACATAACAATGCCCAAAACTCCTACCCAGAAAGGCCCGGGAAACTGTGTTAACAACAAACAGGAAGTGACAAGAAAACCGAAGGCCTCTGCTTCGACGGGCAAGAATTAAACCCCCGAGCTGAACGTACCACGTTGAAGGAGTGATCTCGCATGTGGTTCAGTATGGTGGAGGAGACCAGGGAGATGCTCCACTCCGCTTTGGGGTCATCTGGAAGTTTTCTGAAGGGGCAAAGAGGGAAGGCGGTTATCTTCAGGGTTAATAAAATACACCAGAGTTTGACTGAGATAGAGTTTTTACTGTAACCTAAGGATTCTTAGGAGATTCTAGTCTCGAACACCATATTTTTGCATGCTTTAAATTTCATGAAGCACTAGATGAGAGGCTTTTCGTTGGGCGCAAAGATGAAGGAGCACTGGGAAGAACAAAGGTTGGGGGTCATAAAGGCCAGCAGATTCGCCTTCATCTGAAACAACAGCCCAGAGGCAACGCGAGGCACACATCAAAGACCACACTTGGCTGCACACTCTCCTCGGCCTGCTAAACATGCAAACACCCCCCGATTTAGCTGCAGAAGAACGGACGTAAACGAGGGCTTCTTCCTGGCCTTCGCAATTCGAGAAAAGGCAACCATAGAAATGGAGGGGGGGAAGACACTGAGATATGAATTTAACTGACAGGGTTCAGAAAAAGTGGAGTGGATCCAGTTCTCATCTGTTTGCTCAAGTTGATAAAAGCCCCGAGGGAAGCTGACATCTGCGCAAGTCCCTCCGAAGCTCCAAACTTCAAAAGAAACTAGAAGATAAGAGGATGCAAGCACAGATGTTTTTGGTGAGCAATGCTGAAAAAGGGTTTTCTTTTTTTTTTAAACTTGCTTTTAAAACCACGGAGAATGTGAAATGTTTTATTTTTTACTTTTTTAAAAAAAGAGAGAGAAAAACATGGAAAAAGTCTGCCTATTTCCACTTGCAGGTTTACTGTAGGGCACGAAGCGGGGGAAGCGGAGGTAGCGGGGGTAGTGGGGCACCGCTTCAGCCGGTTCTGCCCCCCCCCCCTTCCTTTCCCTGCTAACAATGAGCCCGGACAGTTGAGCTAGTAAAGAGGAAGAGATGGATTAAGGGACAAATCTACTGGCAGCCTGAGATGTGAGGGTCAGGCTTTGGGGGCGGGGGGGCGGGGGGGTGGGGTCAGCGAGGTTGCGAGTGTCACAGGGAGGAGGGGTGGGGGGGGTTTGGAGATGGCTGAGAAGTGTCTGTCATGGATTGATTGAATGGCTGCAGTCCTCTGATACAGTGACCCACATGTGATAGTGACTGTGCATTAACCAGCCGCACGAACACACCCGACTAGCAAAAAGCTCATAAAATCAGTATTTATGGTAGAAAATGAATAGATAATGGAAAGATAGATGTGCCCATGTAATCTATAAATATTATGTGATCCACGATCAAGGTGTTTTTTTTTTTCAGGCCAGCTGACTATGTATCTTCGTCTTTTATCTCTGTTTTCTTTGTTTATGGTTTTGTTTTGTTGCTGTTGTTGCATTGTGTGGTTACGTTTGCCTGTAAGTTATGTACTGGCAATAAAGTAAAAAAATAAAAAATAAAATCAGTATTTGTGAAAAGTTTGCCAGAACACACGTATATGAAACATTCTCCGAATTTGAAAATTAGATCCAAGTCTAACTGGGCATTTTTCCCCCTCCGAATTGTCGCAGTTAGTCATTAATCTTCATTTATCTGTTTTGCCTCTAGCTTGACAACCGTAGCTAAGCAGAAGCCTGTGCGGCGGAGAGGAGGGAAAAAAAAAAAAAGAAGAAAAAATTAACAAAAGATACACGACACCTGACCTTTTCTCGAGCAAGATGCAGGCCAAGTGCCGGCTTTGCCATGGCAACCGTGCAGAATGTCCTAAAGTGACCTCCCCGGCGCGCCGCATGCAGATGCTTAATTGCTCGCACGCATCTGTACGCCGCGGTTGAACTTTGGCCCAGTAAAAGGATTTTGTGAGCGTGTGCGTGTGTCGGAGAAAGCTGGTTTGGCACCGGTCACATGGGCCGGCGGGCCCCTGGACCCGCCAGACTTCTGTCCGCACGCTCAGATCATGTGTCCTGTGTGGCCCCCCCCCCCACCACGCCGCTGACCCCGGCCGCCGGCGCGCGTGTCAACGTTTAGGCCTTGGTTACGGCGCACACACACACGGGCGTCCGGGTGGTGAATGGAGCGACCCTTCACCGTGCAGAAAAATAAAAAAGGGCACATTAACATGGAAAAAAATTACCGCCCCGGCGGGGGGGGGGGGGGGGGGGGGGGGGGGGGCGAGTGAGCGAATGGAAAAGCGACCGCCTGGCTATGCTGGTGCTGACAAATGCGTCCTGACTAAGAGCAAAGCCAGGTCAGAGGCAGGGCTGGAACATCTCGTCACGGTTTCCTGCACCCTGCCATGTGGGCTCAAATCAGCCCGGGCTATTTTTAAACCCTGATCGATGCATATTCCAACCTTGCGTGGAGACTCCAGTGTTCCTGCCCTTTCCCTGTCCAGAAAATGGAGCTCTACCCTGATCGTGTTCGGAGCAAAAACTTCCTGTATCCCTACAGGAAGGTAAACTCAAGTCAAGAGTCTCCGTTTCAGCATTTTGGGTAATGTAATGAGGAAGAGGAACGGGTGGATTTGTGCCGTGAGCAGATATAATCAAGTCCGGGGGGGGGCAGACAGAGGTCATCCCGGTACAAGAAGAGGGGCAGCAGAGCGTGCTCAGATCCAGTTTGATCACAAAGCCTCCAACATGCAACAGGCCCCGGATACTGTCAACACAGCTGCCCTATTCAGAGAGCGGAGAGAGAGAAGGGGAAAGATTTGATTTTGGAACACAATTCGCGTGCTCTCTAATGTCATCCAGAGGAACGGGTTCACAGCTGGGAGCCTCGGCCAGATATGTGAGCACGACGTTTACCTGGCACTGTTGTGCCTGACAACACGACGCAGCGCACACGCTTAGAACACGCAGCCCACGTGTACGCGTGGTAAAGATGGCGTTTGGCCGCCTTTTCAATGGCTGTCTCCATTCTCCAAAGTTCTGATGGACCACAACTTTAACCAGCAGAACATATTTCAGGTTCAAAATTTGGACCCCAAATCCAGTTCTGGGGAGGCTAATCTGAACACAGTGACATGAAAATGAAAACTTACACCGACCTGAGTTACAAACTAGTGTTGACACATTTCCTGTTTTAAAACAGTCTTTTTATTGTACCAGTAAGTACATGTAATAAGTTTGGAATGGAAATGTTCAGTTCCTGGACTTCTTCTGGTCCAGCTGCTGTTATTCAAGCTCCAAGGAACACAGTTACTTGTTTGAAAGGCTAAATATGAGATTCTATCAGATTAGCAAAGAAGAGTCCCACAACAACGAACTCCACAGCTTCCCAGAAGTCTAAAAAGTTGGAGCTATAGTAGGAAAGCACGAGACTTGATCCGTTTTAGCTACATGCACTTTGGCCAGACTACCAGCATTTTTTCTCAAGTTAATTACACTTAATATGCCACTCTGACCGTTTCGATTCTAAAGATTAAAAAACGGGAAAAAATGCAGCTCTTGGCCTTTTTCTTTCTCTGAATGCAGCGAAACAGCCAGGGACATATCGGAATGGGTTTGGTTTAGAGCAAAGTGGAAATGTCTCTGGCCGCGTGCGGACACACAAAGAGGAAAAACTGTTTGGAATGACCCACATGAGCAGAGCTGAGAGAGTTGCCAAAATGTATCCCACAGTCCTTTGGCTTCAGCAGACGTGGACATGGGGAGAAGGAGGAGGAGGAGGGTTGAAAAGGAAAAGAGAGGGCGAGCTTGGTTGTTCGTGAGTGGGCCTCTCAAAGTGCCGATAAGGTGTGTGTTTTGGGCAAAAACAACAGAATGCATATAAAAGGAAAATGGGCTCCACTCCAGTATAACAGAAGCGCAGACAGCTGCAAGATCAAAGTTCATTAATATTCCGTGAGCACGGGATGATAAAATTGCGGAGTCTGTGCGTGTGTTTGAGCGCACACATGCACATTTACACACAAACGTCGGTCTCTGGGGCAGACGGCCTGGGCAACCTGCCAGTTGTGTTTTTTTCTTTTTCTTTTTTACTGCGAGTTCCAGGTTGGTGTCAGAGTTCATCCAACTCTCCTGGGAAGCCAACATGTAGACACATGTAGGCAGAGGCAGCCCCGAGCTTCTTGGAAACTCAAAACATTTTCAAGGAAAGTTGAAGATTTGATCCTAAAAAAAACAAAACCACCCCCAAAAAAAGAAAAACGATGCGCTTTCTCTGCAACGTGCATGTTTCATTGGCAGGTAAAACTCCCTAATCAGGAAATGATTTTTCTGGGGTTATTAGGGTTAGCGTGCTGGACTCTGCTAATATCTTCTTCCCACTATCTCTAAATGTCAACGAAAAAGAGTAATTAATTCAAGCTTGCCGATGTGTGACTTTTACAACCCTGAGCGACCTGCTCCTCATGAACGAGGATCGTTTTAAGAAGAACTGGTTAACGTGAAAACTGAATGCGCCTAAAGCTAGACACAGGTTTAAAGTAATTGCTTCAACACAGAAAAAGGCAGAAGCAGCAACACAATACCATATTATTATCAATAATAAATAATGTTTTTTTTATTTAATCACTTTAAAATATTATAAATTATGCAGAAAAATGAATTGTAAGTGGACTTACATTTTTCTAAGTATAATTGAATGAATAAATACAATTGAATAAACTGAACTAAATATGCTATTCTAATATGCAGAAAGTATAGCTTCAAATAACATTTTCAAGCTGGTTGTATGACATTTTACAAAGAATGAATGTGTAATATGTAGTGAAAAATATATACACAACATTATTGAAGGGTTTGTTTGTGGCCACGGGAGCCTGGATTTTTACAAAATGTGTGCTCAGTGCTCACACAGACCCATTTTGGAAAAACGCAGCAGAACCTGGAGTGAATCCAGACATGCACGAAGGAGAACACAAAGTCTAAAAAGAAATACTTCGATACAATTTGATACTAAGTTAGTCCACTTAACCATCACCCCAGGACAGACCTATCCTTGCATTCTCTTCTATGTCATTTGTTATATGGAGATAGTACACCCAACCATCAAGGATCAGATCTTTTTAGGGAGAAAGCAGTGATGTAATATGTGATCATCTCCTTTTGCTCAGACAGACTTAGTGAGGAATGAAAGTGACATACTTAGACGTAACTGTTAACAAAAAAGCTGCAGCAAAAACTTATTTTATCCAGGCATTTTTAATTGTTTTTTTAAAATATCAATAAACACCCTCACCCTTAAATTTATAATAAACCTTGTAAAAAGAGAGACATTAAACATGTGTGCTTAGAGTGGAGAACTGCTTACTTGTGATCTACTATAGAGATTCTGGAGTCTGGTATGCCCAACACATCACAGCTTCTGAGAAATTCCTCTCTACGCAGAACTCCTTGATTGTAGTAGTTTCCTGTTAAAGATTAGGAGAAAAAGTTAAATAAATAAAATAATAATTAGGTCTGTGTTGTCAAAGTGCTTCGATGAAACTTCTAATCAATTTTAAAAGCCAAATTACTTGAAAGTTTAATTTAGGTTCAATGGATCGAGGTAGAGAAAAAATGTTTCAGGAGTGTATATTGAAAGTCCTTTTCAAAACTCTGGTTCTCCAGATACTGTTCCGCCAAACATTTTCATTTTCAGTTAAATGAATGATTTTCACTTTTGCTCACTACTTCCTTTGCTTACTACTCGAATGTAAACATAATTTAGCAGAATGCTAAATGTTTAATAGCTCTTCCGGTTTACATGCTGGTATTAATCTAAAAAAAGTGTATTGTCGTCATACCTTCAGATAAACACAGCACATGCACGCTGGCGTTTAATTCAACGAGTCGAATAATCGTTGGCGAGAAGAACATACATTCATCATCTGGATGCGCAGTGACAATCAGAGCTCTGATGTCGGCGCCAACAGCTTCTCTGTCCGATAAAAAGTTCAGTAAATGTGTCAACGACTTGATCAAAGTTGTCCGGTGTCGTGAGTAAATCCATTTTATCCAAGCCAAATAAGATAAAACTATGGCGACAAGCAAATAAACACACATGATTATCTACCGACACCATAAACAATCCGTGTAGGGATAAAGATCCAATGTGCAATGGTTCCATACGAAAAGGATCCGCGGTCAGTTTTTTCTTACTGGTAATTTTGGCCATATTCCTTTAACATTTTTAATGCAGTTATGTAAGGGAAATCGTCTATATTTAAGCAAACAACTGTACGACTCAACACTGTTAAATTTGTTTAACATTCATTTAATTTAGTTTAAATTCGTTTAAAAAGAGATGTGAGAAATTACTATAACACTGGATTATTTTTAGGAGGTGTTGAAAAATCAGAATGTAGAAATTATTCAAAAATTTCTAATAAATTGTATGTATGTAGGGTTTTTTTTTAAAGTGAAAATTATAAACACACGGGTATTACCGTGTTCGGAGGGATGATTTAGTTGTTACACAGTACTGTCCTTACAGGTACATACAAAGACAATACAACTTTATACAAAAATATTTAGCAACGATAGAAACAATTAACTTATTTTTCCTAAATCTGCAGGTAAAAGCCTTTCCATAACCGTCTTTTTATTGACTAACGGGAGAAGACTGGATTATTGGGCGCAGAAGTTATTTGTTTTCCGCTGTTAGGATATCGACCGACAAATGCGGCGCAGCCTTTAGTCTGCTCAGTCGTTCACAGCCCACAACCCGCGGATTTACAATCAACACTTGACACCATTTCTGCACAGGCATAGCCTTCTTTCCCATCAGTATACCCTTCAAATATGCGGTGAGTACAAATAGCTGGCGTGGAGTACAGCAACACGTTTAATTACCACGCAATTTAAACGAATCGGTGTACGCTGAAAATCTGTCTTGCAAGATGGCGACGTGGTTGAGAATTCAAAGGTGAAATCCAGGCAGAGTTAGCCAGCTAGCGACAACAACAACATCTTAATCGTTTCGATAGCACGCATTAAGTGTTGATACGTCTCCCACTTTGAAGTTTTCGTCTATTGTTGTGCACAACGCCGGATTATGCCCTGTGTTGTGGTGCCAGTCCCATCCCCCATGATAAACTACACACCAAGTTACGTTTTATGACAGTGTGGTGTTAAATGATAACAATAACACCACACTGCACCAGTGCTTTCACGTTTTCTGAAGGAGCCGTTGTGGTCAGTTGAGGGGATGACGAGCCAGTTGTTGCATGAGCTGCAACCATTTTCTAAAAAAGATGGCGAAAGCTTAGAAGGTTTAGCTATTTCTTTAATGCTTTTCCCCCCTCCAAATGCCTAATGGGTCCGTTTTGGGGCAGTTAACTGCTGCTGCATTGGAGGAGAGCCTCTGTGGAGGATCACAGCACAAGGACTGCACACACAGCCACAAAATGTTGCACTTAAAGAGGGATGCTAAGAAGAAAGAGGCAAAGCTTTACAGCTTTACATTTACAGTAATTTTTCAGCTCAGTTGTATGCTGGTTGAGTTGCAAAAACAGGCTTAAAACACGAGGCCCAGGTCAGAGTCAGGTCACTGAACAGGACTGTACCAGCTGACGGTGATGGGGAGCATATTTCTAATCTGATGTTGGCAGGGTTGCTTTTTGAACAAGAAAGAAAAGGGAAAAATGACATTAGGCTCTGGTTAAACTGGAAGCACGCAGAATAGAAACGACCAGGCCTTTTGATTGTGCTATTTCATTTCAAATCCATCTGTTTGACATTGTTATTATACACAATATAAAAATAGGTGTAAAACTAAGCAGCAGCAGCAGTTTATTTCTCTGTTTTCATTTTTAGTTCACTTTAACTTGTATGGTGGGCTATAATTGTAGACTGTTATCAACATGGAGCATGATTGATGTTCCCTTTTTTTTCTGTAGAAAGTTTCCTCTGCACAGTGACATCAGCTGAAGGTTGGTTTTATTTTTAGGGGAATCAATCTGACAGAGGCTAGAGAGGACAGAGAGCACTGTGTTGTTGTGGATGGAGTTCAGAATAACGGAATAGTAACAGTAAATGGTAGAAAGTGGCATTTTAAAGTTCATTTCTGCTTGGTTCTGTTTCCAGGAGCAACTTTTAGCCGATTTCTGACTTTCATTTAGGTATTTTTCGTTAACTGAGAGCCAACAAAATGTGATTAATTTGTTCATCTGGAGCACAGCTGCTATGCCCACCAGGTCCTTGCTGTTCTGAGGAACTATTAACATGGACATGGAAAAGCTGATAATGTCATTGTTTTGCAGAACATTTTATTCAAATCTGGTAAACTTAAATCTTTTTAGAAAAAGTTTTATCTCAGTGTAACCGCCAGTGTTCAATTTAAGAACACTTGGATGTGACCTGGGATACGCACTGAACGGCCTTAATGCTGGATCTAACATGCACACACGCAAACTCGTGGTAGTACGCCAGTCCCCTACATCCAGCAGTGGAACAACAAATTCTGAGTCCAGAATGAAATTTCATTACAAGCTGAACATGATAATGGCTTATCTGAGGTCAGTAGTTACTGTAATGTCTAAAATGTGAAATATCTTTGGCTTAGTAATAGAAAGGAATAATGTTTATATTTAACCGCATTTTCCGCACTTTATAACTGCAGACTTTGTGTTAAATAGAATTGATTGTTCCGGCTCGTGACAGATATCAAAATACTCACCCACAGATCTTCAAAAAAACGTCTGTAAGTTTTGTGTCTAACCTGGAAGTTTGCAGACGTAAACCATCTGTGGTTTATGAACACTCAGCTGTGCCTTTTCTAAGAAGAATAATGTCACTTCCTGTGTGCGAAATACGTTGTACTGGGTTCTCCAGCCTGTTTTAATTGCTTCCCACATATGCACTGGTGTGACAGCAATCGGCAGTTTCCTTTCGTAGGTGTGTGAGCCAGATTGAGCCGTGAAAAGCATTACGTCAAAACTTTAAGACAGACATGACGTTTGAGAGCGATCAGAATGATCTCAGGTGATTCTAAAGAGAAACCATGTCCTGTGACTGGATCCGAAGTCTGCTTACTTCCAGATTATCCACAGCTAAATAAACCATGATCTGTGGTTGAGAGCAGGGAGAGGGATAAAACCAGAGGACATATTTATTTTTCTGTGATGGAGGGCCATAGGCTGCCAAAATTCCCCAGGTTAGGTGGACGCTGTCGTGGTTGGACCGAGGCTGTTCAGTGATGGCACTGTGTTTGAAAAAGGCCGATTTGAGATTTAGCTTTAGGTCCTATTCTGGCAAAGCAGCACTTCAGACTGCGGCCAGAAAAGTTTAGTTTTAGTAAAACCTCACGCTGTGATCGTCAGTGTATTTTGAGACAGGTAAAGTTCATTTCAGAGAAAAAAAGGGAATGATATTTCGGATTGTATGCAGTCAGTTTAACAAAGTTGTGTACATTAGCTTCTGCTTTATCAAGCCTTTGAGCAGCTGTTCATGTCTTTTTTGTCCTTTCTGGTTATCCATCCAAGCAGTTTGCTTTTAAATCTGCTTTATATTAATGTGCCAGTGAAAGTTTTTTCTTTTTTGTGGAACTACTCAAAACAGTTTCTACTCAAAAATTTCCTGATTATTTTATTGCTGATGTTCTTAGACAGCATCATATGTAATTCAATGTTATTTTTTTTAAACACTGACTGTCTCCGTCTCCCCTTGCGCAGGTGGTTTGTGTCTCCAAACATGGTCTAGCTGCGTTTTGATTGGTGAAGCAGCGACAGCCCGCTAGCACTGAGCCAGGATGTCCAGCAGCTCGGGCTACCCCCCGAGCCAGGGGAGCTTCAGCAGCGAGCAGAGCCGATATCCACCTCATTCTGCCCAACCCCCCCACACCCCCCCCCCCCCAGCGCCCCCCCCCCCCCCCCACCTCCCCAGCCGAGTCAGGCGTTAACACAACATGCCTTCCAAAAGCGTCTGCAGTGCAGTTAGTAGACAACGTCAGACACAGCTGTGTGGTTTATCATGTTTTCATCACTTTCACGTTCAGTTCCATAGGTCAGAATAAATATATGGCAGGTCATCGACCCTGTGAGACTTGCCTTTGTTTGTTTTTCTGTATAGATTTGTTTCGCTATGTTTTGTGAAGATGTATTGGATCATACTCTCATTATTATTGAATGAGTGTATTTTAGTCTCTATGCATCATTTAATGCATGATGTTTTTTAAAAAGTGATTGTTTGAGATGGCAGAGATTTTTGCCGAGAAAAGCTGCTGTTTTTGGAAAGTTGAATGAGCTTGCCATTAAAACATTTCTTGTCTAAAGCTTTGGGAATGCAGCAATAAAAGAGCAATGCTTAACAGGCCAGTTCATGACCAGTGAGGTCCGTTTAAAATGGGATATGAATAAAAAATGACATGGTTATAAAGGAAAGAGGTACTTTATAAGGTTATGCTAGTTTAATATTTGTTTCACAAATGTATACAAGGTTTGTAGCTGTTGGTTTTGGATGATTATCTTTTTAAATTGTTAATTTGCATCTTGCCTCCGTTCTCCCCTGTCGGCCGTCATATCAGTAGATTTATTGAGGACTATTCACACCCATTGAGCTCTTTGGACAAAGCGAGGTATCCTTCCCCCTCAGAGGGCTGCGTCCCCCTGACTGCTGGAGCTGGAGGAGCTGGAGCTGCAGCATTAGTCAGTGGGCTCCGCACATGCGCACTGTTCCTGAGGTCTGCTGCTCAGAAAGAGGCAGGGAGTGCACTCTGTAAGAGGAACAATATTCAGACATTCTCCCTGCATAATCCTTTCACATTTGGATAAAGCATCTGAATCTTTATGCAAGCCAGAGAAAAAGAAAGGGTTTTCCCAGAAACGAAGAGAGTACGAAAAATGGGGTGAATCTGAGCTGATTTCTGAATGCTCTTAAAACTAAAATGGTTTCAGTCCTGAAGTTTGTGTGGTTATAATGTTCAGGCCCATTTTCCTGCTGCACGGTTGTTTACTTTTACATATCCTTTCATATTTGTCAGACAGACTTCTTAGAAGCTGGCTTTCACAGAAATCTGTCACAGGACTTTTCGGAGCATTTGATTGTTTGCTCAGATCGAGGACACAACAGGGATTAGTAAATATTTCCTGAAACTGCATCTGCTCGCTGGGGTTTGTTTGGTCTTCTCCCTCCGTTGATAACGTTCAGGTGTTCTTTACCCCTGGTTCTGCACTGTTTAGAGGGTTTTAATCAATGATCAGTAACTAAACAGCTATTTGTTTTTTATGCTTTACTCCTGATCCCGATCTACTCACAGATCTACTTCAGTGTGTACAGAGTGGGACCAAACGGACTAAAGTCCTCTTCCAGGGTCATTCTGGGGGTGTTGGCATACAATTGTCTGTCTTCACTGCTTTATGTGTATATACATAAATACATAACGGCATACCTGAGTATGGATGCTACATTGTTTATACATGGAAACACACGGAAATGTCTCTTTGAGGCCGTGCTACTGGATACAACTGGATGCTATGACTGTGACTGTAGCGTCCAGTGTTGAAACCTGTACAGATTTGAACTTCAGATCCAACTATTGGTTGCACATGGACTTTATTTCCTTCTCGTTTTTAACATCTATTTTTACGCGATCCTCGCTTTTCTTACTGTCCTGAACTTGATCAGATAAGGTCACAAAGCTGTTTGTGTTGTTTTCCTTCCACGTGCAGGATTTCCCCGTCCCGGACTACCGTAGTCACATGCAGGATCCGCAGGGCCGGAGAAGACTTTCTTTATTGTCTGAGTTCCACCCTGGGACTGAAAGGTAGGGGATTAATTTGAACCACCCCGCCCGTCGCTTCGTTTGTTTTTGTTTGTCCCTCCCGTCCATTCGTCCAGTTTTCGATGTCTTGTTGTGGAGAAGCCTTTCCTGGTGCGCTGCTCGGCTCGTCATACTTTTTGTGTCTGCTTTTATCCTTCAGGCCTCCAGAGAGACGCCATGGTTACGAACAGCAGTTTCACTCCGTCACACAGCAGCCTGAGCATGAGGCCTTGGAGACCAAACGTCCTCGCATGGAGGCCCTCACTGAGGCCCATATCACCCGCACCCCTCCCTCTGTGGGGGGTATATCCATGCCCATGCCCCACACAGTACAAGATAGTTTAAGAGCCACGGTGGAGGTAAAAAAGGTAGGAGTGTCCCGCTTCTGGCACATGCTGCTTTGTTTATTTGCTTTTATCTACGCTAAATAAGAGCTTAGGAGTTTTTATACTTTGTAGGCTCTTTATGAAAAGTGTTAAATGTATCATTTAATGCCATTTGGATGTAATGGCTGCACAGTATGAAATGAGCTTTTATCTTTTTCATGACCTGTTTTTTCTGTTTTTCCCCCAAATTGTCAGGAATCTCAGTTCAGTGTCAAAGTGGAGTCGCCGTCCCCCGGAGGACCCACGCTGCACATCGGGGAAGAGCAGGACACGTCTCCCTCCAAACTGTCCAAGGAGGAGCTCATTCAGAGCATGGACCGCGTGGACAGAGAGATTGCAAAAGTGGAGCAGCAAATTTTAAAGCTGAAGAAGAAACAGGTCGGGAGCACAGCCAGCAGTTTCTACTGCGAGTGCATGAATGAAGTGTTTACGTCTGAAATGAACAACTCTTAGTTACTGGTGTGTGTGTGTGTGGCTAAATGTACGGAATAAATGAAGCTATAGGGGAATCGCTGTGTGTGCGGAGCTGATGAGTCTGGTTTGGATCCCTCACAGGCTGCCAGTGCATGCACAGCCTGAATTCCAACAGCTGAACTTGATTTAAATGAGGCAGCATTCAGATCAGAGTGTTGATTACATGAGCTGCAGATTGGTTTCTCCATTGACATTTCCTTTTAAGAGTTAAAGAGCTCACGCCTACTTTATGTTCCCCTACGCTGTCGAACCGTTTTCGCCCCATCAAAGCCGCCATGACGTCCACACCCCTAAAGAGTCCTCAGGTTCCTCACGCCGACAGTTTGTGGTGTTTTCCGGCCTTTCTGTTGACTGGCCGGACGTAAAAGCTTAAAATGCAAAATACACTATGTGACTTAATTATTCCACATAGATGAATATGATAAATATTTACTCCTATGACATTTTTTCAGTTAAGAGGGCCTTGAAGAGCTTTTTACACCTGTAAACAATGCCACTGGGTCCCCAGTTTGTTTATTTTGTTGAACCACTAAAAATGGAACCGTTTTAACCATTCCTCCTGTACCTGTGCCTGTCCTCCTCTCTCTCTGCCCAGTTTCATCAGACTCAGGCTAGTTGTGTTATTTTTCACCCCTCTGTCTGTATTTTTTATTGTCTTTATATCGCACGAATGACTTGTGCTTTTCTTTGCATTCTCCATTAAATAATGGAATTTGCTGTATTGCACAATACTCCTTTTCCCGCACTCAATGACGGATACAAAGTTATTGTTAGCAGGTGAAAAGCTCCTAATTTATGCTGAACTAGCTCTACAAGTGCAATGACCCGATGGGCATGGCCCCAAAGAACTGTGTAGTACTTTACACTGTGATTTATGTCTTTAATTAGTTTGTGTTTTTTGGTCCTGTGACATGTTAAGCTACAAATGTAATACCTCAACCACCTGCTTTCGTTTTCCTTTTAGAAATATACCTAGGCAAAACATTTTCACTCAAATTTTTTTTTTCACATGCTGAAACTGATACTAAACTCATGTTTTCATCAGCCCATCTCTCCTGGCTGGAAAAGCTGATTCCTTATTTTGTGGCTGTCTGGTTTGTAATTCCTTCTCATTAGATAGGAATGTGAGCAATAGGATCCCTCCCATTTTTTTTATTTTTTGTATTTCCAAATCTTCATTCCTCAAAGGTTTTGAGGAATTGAGTAGTTTGTTTTAGGTATTCTAGGAACTGCTAACCATGTCCCCGTTAGGATTTTAGTTCATACAACCTTAACCAGGTTAAAACGTATCTGATATGTTTGTCTGTTATACACAAAATGATCCCAGCAGAAAAAAGTCACATATTAAAAACCCAAATCAGAAGGCCCCGATAAAGTCTGCATAGGTCTCTTATAGCGTGACTACAAGTAAAATGTGCTATTTTCATGTCATCTTGCAGCAACAACTTGAGGAGGAAGCAGCGAAGCCTGTGGAGCCCGAAAAGCCCGCCACCCCTCCTCCGGTGGAGCACAAGCACCGCAGCATCGTCCAGATAATCTACGATGAAAACAGAGTAAGCTACCGACGCAAAGACACCCAGCCAACCCTTTCTCTGGGGTCACTGATTGGTTTTATGTCTAAATCGTGATGCATAAAGCTGAGCATGTGCTTGTCCCCCCCTGCATCCTCAACAGCCCCCTGCATCTAAAGTCGTTTGTCAACAGAACCCTCTGGAATGTGATTTGTGCTCAGTTACCTCTAATTCTTTGCTTATCGAAGCTGAAAGAGAAGTCAGATGTGTTTCTCATTTGCGTGTCAAACTGGCAGAAACGCACATCTCGCCCCTCCCTCACGGAGGCGCAGTGTGAGGGTGTATCTGTGGAGGTCACGGCAGTCCACGGCTGTCAGACAGTGTTGTGGTTAGAGAGCGCGGAGACACGCTCTCCCTCGCAGTCAACCATTAACCCTTCAGGCTGTAAAGCTGCTCAAGCGTCGCACATGACATTTAGTCTGGCAGCTGCGGTTGTTTTTGTCCGTCTGCACACGAGAAAGGAGAAATTAAACAGTCATTACCATCCTATGATATGTAATAACGGGGCTGACCCGAGAAAAAATGACATTCAGTGGTTATTTTTTTGTATCAGGCTTTTGGATGGCTGGGGCTCATAATGCCAGCCTTCAAAAAAATATTGCAAGTCATCCATGTGTGCGTTTCTTTGTTCATTTAAGTCTAAATTTGAATGCAGTCTAAATTTGACTTCTGTTCTCATTTATTAAGTTTTTACTTATCCATCTTTTCTCTTTAGAAAAAGGCAGAGGAGGCCCATAAAATACTGGAAGGCCTTGGTCCCAAAGTTGAGCTGGTGTGTTAATTTAATAATGAACCCTTTAATAAAATCTTCCTCAGCTCTGAGACAAGAGTCATTATACTGACATTTCTTTTGTCCATTTCTGTCTTTTCCTCAGCCGCTTTACAACCAGCCGTCAGACACGAAGGTGTACCACGACAACATCAAGACGTGAGTGACGGTTGCTTTTGAAATCCATCTGTGAAATGAGTTTGGCCTCGCCTCGTTCGGGGCACCGACACGCTCACATTGCTCACCACACTATCAGCACAAAGAGGAAAGTGCCGGAGGCAAATGTGACCTCAGACCTCATAAACCCAGCTGATAATTCTGTCTAATCTGATTGCTGAGTCACCTGACTGAGTTGCCCTACTGACACCAAGGAGAGTGATTTAGAAAAAAAGTCAGGACGTCTGTGAGTGTGTGTGTGTGTTGTGTGTGTGTGTGTGTTGTGTTTAAGAGCTGATTCTGCTGGGGTTGAAGGCCGTGTCGTCTGGAACAAAGACCTTATCGGCATGTTCCATGAGAGCGGCTCATCTGGCCGGGTCTTTTATCAGGCCCTGCTGTACAGGCCATGCTGTCACTATTCAGTCACATCATGTGCAAACCCAATATTTCCCTTTTATTCAGGCTTTTTTTTTGTCATGCAACAAAAAATGAATAATGTTTGTGGACGGGATGTTTGAATAAAGCTCGGGGTGTGTTCCGGGAGGATCTTCAGGTGCTCTGGTTGTGGCTGAATCCCGACGTCACAGTGCGGTGTGGGAATTCGGGACATTTTCCGTTTAAACCCAGGATAATGCTTTTGGGAATTGAAAAACATCATCAGTTCATCGAATTACTATTGTTCTCCTCCAGAAACCAAGTCATGAGGAAGAAGCTGATCCTGTTTTTTAAGAGGAGGAACCATGCACGAAAACAAAGGGTGAGTGTCCCCGCTGTTAAAAAAACAAGCTGAAGTTGTCCCAACTTTCATCTTTTTGATGTGTTTGTGTAAGTGCTGCAAACAGGAGCGGCCTTTTCCTTTCCCTCTTATTCAGTCATAAGGTCCCCCTCTTTTTTCTTCTTTTTTTACATGTCATCATGCATGTTATGTGGTCTTAAAATGTCCCTTTTTTCACACATTTGAAGGGGTTAATGCCTTAAAACATAAAAAATAAAGAATATTTAGATGATTACGATAAATGGGAAGTAAAAGATCTCCAAAGGTATTAGTTCTGATTTTGAATCACTTCAGAATAAGAAAGCTGTGGCATCTCAGTATATTTGAGTCAAATTCAGGATAAAAAATCTCTACTTCTTTACTGCTGACAGCAGACACTCTGAAACGCACAGCACTTACCATCAATGGCCCTTAACCAAAGTAACAGAATAAAAAACATCTTAGAGATGCAGTTAAATAATTTACAGCCTTGCGCAACATTGTGGAAGTTGTAAAATTATACAAGTGATGTATTTACAGGCCAGGAAACGCCTCGGTTTCCGCTGTTTGTACGGCTGCATTGTGCAGGCCAGTAACCACTCCTGAATGCAGCAGAATAATAAATGTTGTTGCATCAATCAGTTCTTGGAAATTTCGGGCCATGCGCTGCTTTTCTCGTGAGATATTTGAATATTGACTCATCTCATGTTGAAACACTTTGCTCTAGTTTTTTCCTCCTTTTTTTTTGTTGCCCTCTGGGGCTACACCGGCCAGCCAGCCAGACATTTCGGAGTCACAACAATGGCCGACGTGACATGGCCTCACGCCAAAGAGGAAGTGGATGGTTTGTCCCTCTTTGCAGAGAGTGGAAATGAGGCTGTAACCTCCTCTCAACGCTCTTTCCATTCCTTCACTCAACGTAGGGAATACTTCACCGACCTGACATTTAGTGCTCCTTTTCCCCTCATCTTTCATGTGAAAACAGACAAGAATGTGTGCTTTGGCGAAACACTCGCGGTGACCTTTTGAAAGCTGTGTGTAAACATGCCGGTTGCATCAGAGCAAGCTGTGAGTGGGTCATTAGACCGACTCAAAGGAAGGCAAACGCACACCACAGCTAACGCAACATGTTCCTGAGCAGCCTGTTCTCGACCCGAACTAATGGCCGGTTCACCTTTATTTATCCATTTGTTCACATTTAGAGCTACCAGGTGTGAGTGAGGGAGGAAATTAAAATCCAGGATGATGTGTATGGACCAAAACGTTAAGATTATTGTTGCATGGCAGCATCCTTCATATATAATTGTCCCTCGCCCTATTGAGGATTTTTAAGATTCCTTTTATTTCCCAGGATTTTTTGGTGTATTTATTTAATATTTGGATTATTTTTGCTTCGGTATGCTCAAGATGGGGCGCAGTGGTGCATTTAGTCATTTTGTGTGCCCACAGGAACAGAAGATCTGCCAGCGCTACGACCAGCTGATGGAGGCGTGGGAGAAGAAGGTGGAGCGCATGGAGAACAACCCCAGACGCAAAGCCAAGGAGAGCCGAACACGGGAGTACTACGAAAGGCAATTCCCAGAGATCAGGAAACAGAGAGAGCAGCAGGAGCGCTTCCAGAGGTAAAGGCCTCGGGCGGGGACGGGTCAAAGCAGAGGCACCCTCTGAAATATTCAGAGTGCGTTTTATCCCACAGCACTGAGCATCCGTTTGACCCAGGAGACATGAAGACTGGTACCAAATAGCATAATTTTCATCCATTATTGAGCTTAGTGAAGCCACATTTATGTAGTTGAAAATAATTTTTGTTTATTGTTATTTCTGGTGCGGAAAAAGCTGCACCAGAAATAGGCAGGGAGCAGAGTTAATCAAAAGGGAAATCAAAGTGCTTCAAAGCTTCACTAAGTCACAAAAGGCAAAAAAAACATTCCATAAATTATTAGTTTAATTAAATGATTCAAACAAAATTGCTGTGAGAGCTCACAGATCTCACACAGAGAAACCTGAAACCCACAGTTTCTTTTATTGTTTTAAAACTAATTTAACAGGCCTCAGGTATGATGTCCTTTTTGTTTTAGAAAAAAACAATCCCCGTGTTAATTGAGGAGATTAGAGAATAAGGATCCAAGCTGAAAGAGTTTGCTCCTGCAACACATTTTATATATTATGGATGTTGAGCCAAACTGTGGCTACACCGAGAGACGAAAATAGCCCCCGTCAATTTTTCAGACGTCTTAAAACTTTCACCTGAAAAGGTTTCAGGAAGGTCTGCGCAATGGCCAACCTTTAAGGTGTCACACGGGCAGGATCCAGCGTCTGGTTCTTCCTCACATTAAAGTTTTGTGCTCTCGCTGGAATATTCAAGAAAGTTTTTTATTTTCTAACACCGTTTATGCAGACTACCAGACGGTGAATGACGACACAAATCATAAACGGCTATCATTAATGTGTTTTTTGTTAGTTGGAGGGGGAAAAAGATGTTGATGTTAACAGACCTTTGAAGGTTTTACTAAAGAAAATCTGCTATGAGTGAGTCATGAAAGCTGCACTGACCATAGATTAGATGAAGCCTATGATGTAAATTTATATTGCGATCAGTAGCGAGCAATTATGTCCCTGTTTTCACAGAGTTGGACAAAGAGGAACCGGCCTTTCTGCAACGATTGCAAGAAGCGAACACGAGATTTCTGAAATCATAGATGGCCTCTCTGAGCAGGAGGTAGGTGCTGAGTGCACTAAGAGTAAATTAAAGCTGTCAGTGAGAATCATTGATCGCAGTGGCTCAAGAAATCAGTAAACGATAAAGTAAGAGAACCAAGACTTTTTGAGACAAATGTAGGGAGAGATTTTTTCTCCAGTGTTTAGTCGTTATGCACTGAGAACTAAAGCTGATTTGGACAGAAATGCTCACGGTTTGGAACATCTGAAGGGGAGCATCTCAGGAGGGTGGCGATATAAAATAACTGCCTTCCACAGAACAACGAAAAGCAGATGAGACAACTGTCAGTCATCCCTCCCATGATGTACGACTCGGAGCAGAGGCGAGTGAAGTTCATCAACATGAATGGCCTGATGGACGACCCCATGAAGGTGTACAAAGCCAGGCAGTTCATGAACGTTTGGACCGAGCATGAAAGGGAGATCTTTAAGGAGAAGTGAGTTGTTGTGGTCAGACAAATGTTTGGACCACTTTGGGTGGTTTTAATGAATAATGATTGAACTGTCTTTGCAGGTTTATCCAACATCCCAAGAACTTTGGACTGATTGCTTCGTATCTAGAGAGGAAGGTAAATTGTGCCAACTGGTTCCACCTTTAACTTTTGCAGTGGGGGACAGGGTCTAATCCCCTGTTCTTATTAAAGCTTTTGCTCGTTTTGATCATTTGATTTTCCTACGAAGCATTAACATTGTTTATGTGGTATAAAATCGTAGCTCTTTTTGTAAATGAACTGATACATTTAGTGGATGTAAACCATCCATTGTCTGTACCGCTCACTCCAAGTAGGGTCGCGGGGGCAGGAGCCTGTCCCAGCTGGCGTTGGGCGACAGATTATGTAAACCAGTAAAAAAAAAAAACAATAAGATGTTTATATGTGGTGTGATATCTCGTTTCAGAGTGTTTCCGACTGCGTCCTCTTCTACTACTTGACCAAAAAGAACCAAAACTACAAGACATTGGTGAGGCGAAATTATGGAAGAAGGAGAGGGAGGAACCAGGTAAAGTCAGGCTTTCTGTCCATACTGCTGGGTAGTGATTGTTTTTCATGTTCGGATGTAACAAAGTATAAACTGAGATTACATGAAGAAAGAAATCCTTTTAGAAGAGCACCTGGTGTCCCAGGAGTGATCTGACAGAGAGTTTCCTGCTTAATTTGTTTGTGTTTATCCGACCCTTCCGGAGGGTTTCATGTTCGTGTGGGTGGTTCTGGGATGAAGAACGCCAGTTTAGCAGAGAACCTGAACAAAGTTAGTTTTCGATGTCCAAAAGAACCCACAAACTAAACTGTATACATATTTACCATACTAATAATTTCTGAAGATATTGGATTATTCAGGTAACTGGTTACTTGATTGGACAATTAATCCCATATGTACATTACATATTTTGGATATGCATCCTTTTATTTGTCATTTTTATAGATTCTTTACTTTATGCTAAGATAGAATTAATATTTTCTAGATAAAGACCGTGAAAGACTTATAGACTAGGAAATATTTTGATATCCTACATTTTCACATATGTAGCTTAGTTTAATCAAAAGCAGAAGGAGAAGAGGACTTTGCCTTGTTTTTTCTTAAGTTTTAGGACTGGTTGTGTCTCTCACTGTATTGTATCAAACACAAAGGCCCAGCGGGGATCCTGTAATCACAGTCAGACCTTCCAGGCAGCTAAATGAGGATGGGTTGTTGCCCATTGCTCTGTATGATTGCCTTTGCTTGTCCTGTGTTGGTTAGTCTGCCTCACTGAATGCCAGGCAGCTGCATATTTTGGGGCCAGTGGCTCAAACTGCATCTGCGACGGTGGAAGTAACTATGGGGTAGCTCTGAATTTGGGCTGTGCGTCAGCGTTCTTTGGTTGACGCCGGTTTCACAGCAAGTCTGCAGCCTTTTGTAAAGCTTCTGCGGTGTCACCTTTTACCAGTGCTGCTTTTCCTGTGTTTTGGGCTCTTCTGCCACACAGCGTGATCCTGGAGATGTTTTTTTTCCCTCCCCTGTTTCTTATCCTCATACCAAAGATTATACAGGTCCACTCAAAACAATTTCCAGCACCGAGCGTGCAGATGACTTTGGTTTTATGACACTGTTAAAAGACTATTTCAATAATTCTGGTAGATTTTTCTTCTCTTTTTCTCTGGTGCCACAGCCCTTGTACAGAATGTTCTGTTCGTCTACAGTGCAACACAATGCTTTGGTTGTAGACGGTTTCTTTACATGGGGGTTGGAGGGGACAAGAGTTCACGATTACATCTCGAACTCACTTCTATTTGTCATTTAAGAAGCTGCTGCATTTTGCTTATGGATGACATTTCTCTGTGTGCGGATCAGCAACGCATGAGAGGAGACGGTGATTTAGAAGTGAGTGCAGAAGAATCTCTTCCTGTTTGGCAGCTCTTTGGTGCGCGCTTGTTATTTCACGCCACCAATGAACTTCTGGAGGAATAAGGATCCCTCGTCTTTCTTTTTCGTTGCACAGAAAGATTTTTTTTTCTTTTCAAATTGCCATTTAGTAAAAGCACGCATGAGTATGTGGTGCATCTCCACTCTCCTGTTGTGCTTTAAGGACAGCAGTTCGCGTGAGCAGGGTGAGTCATTAATGTGGGAAGGAAAAGGACAGAGTGAGCAACAGCAAGAGCAGTGGAATGTAGGGCAAGTGAGTGAAACTGAGTGAAAAAAAAAACCCTGAGTGAGACGGAGTCAGCGCTGGCAGCTTATCCGCTGAGTGTGTGCTGTTTCTTTTCCTTTTTTTTTTCTCTCCTCTATTTCCTCTCCTCTTCAGAGAGGGAGGAATTCACCCCTCTCCAAAGCGTGGGGTTGGTACGGCCCGGCCATCTGACAGGACCAAAAAACTCACTGTGCTGCTGTGAGTGCCAATCAAAGAGGAGTGCTCAGCAGGGATTACCTTGAGTGACCCTGCATAGATTAGTGCGTGCATGTGAGATGGACAGTTCTTTGGGCAGCTTAAGCGGCCTGATGACACGCTTTCCTGGAATATGTGCGGCGGTGCCGTGGCCCGGCAGCCCTTCTAAGGAGCTCTGCTATGGTGCTGTCCTGCCCCTCCGTTGCTACCACTGCCAGCGCTATGGAGGTACCGGTGGGTAAATTCACATTTGCAACAAGAGTGAGCTTTGGCGCACAGCAGAGGAAAGGGATTTTTATGGCCAGCAAATGAGCGTGCAGGTATGTCGCTAACTTTGAAAAGCGGAGCTTTAACTTTTTAGTCGAGACTCCACGAGCACTGTTTATTTCTCGTCCTTTCGCTCTTGTTTCCCTCTGTGCCGTGCCCTCTACTGCGAGGCTGCTCGGACAGTTTGTTTCCTAGCCTACATATTTATTTTAGGCTTGTAGGCAGCCAAACAGCTATTTTAGGGTGGGTTTTCTAGGACATGTGCTGACAGTTTTCTTTTTTTTATTATTTAGGGATCATGGCCAGTGCTCTGGGCATGTATTTATGTTGCTGCTTCTGTTTTAGTCCAGTTGGTCAGATGACAAAATGTGGGTATTAACTTTCACGATCAAAGGGAATAGTTTGGCTTTATTGTTAATTTAAATTCCCAGAAAAGACATTATTTGTCTGCACATCCATACTCTTAAAGAAGCCCATGCATTTCCAACTTGTTAGTGTGCGTTTTGGTGCAGTTTTACTAGCGTTAGCCATTAGCTGTAAAGTTGTGGTGCTTACTTCACTTTCCTATGTTGTGGTTTTAAGTATTCATGTGCACTGTGGACTCAAATATCAGACGAATAACTACTCAGACTCGATCCTTTCTGTGCAAGTCTTGCCAGTGTTGGGTGTCCATTATTATCCTCCAGTGGCACTTACTCTGGACCTGTCACCTCCTGAAGTGGCTAGTGGTAAAAGCTGTCGAGCAGCATGGACAAAGGGGGCTGTTAATGGTCGTGATAATTGGAGATAAACTAGATGGAGCCTTGCATTTGAAGGACCCAATCAGCTACCAAAACCTTTGTCACTTTCAGGAAGATACTTTCTTTAAGTGGTGTACAGCATTCAGCGAGGCCCGGCCTTCTTTCAGGACTGAGTGGTGAGTGACGAGCTCTCTCCACCTGACTTAAATCCTACTAAACAATTTTAATGAGAGAAACATTAAGTATTTTTTAACCATTGTTTGGATCTTTAGTAATTCAGGGTTGAGTTGATGATGAATCCATCAACTAGTTTACAGGCTCCTCTGATGGAAGGCTATATTATGTGATATAAATAATGTTGTGTTGTGTTATTTGATATTGTTTTTTTATTGTCAAGCTGAAAGGAAAGGATTGTCTTGAAACCACTGGAAGATCCTTTAGCTACTTTAGGCGCAGCGAAGGTCCACCAAGCTGACCCCGGATGACAGGTCTTATCAGTAGCCGTCGGCCATCTTGCTTTTACATTGACTTAACTTTGTATGCCCCCCTCTCTCCTTTTCTTAAGAGTTTTACAACGTATTCTTTTGCAAACCCATTGATTCTCCCTTGTTAGGTCAACAAAAATTCTAAGTGCAGTGCAGTTGCTGGATTTATTCGTCTAAGAGAAACAAAAGCTGCTTCTCCTTTAACAAACAGTTTTTACTGTGCGGGTCAACAAAGTATTTGAAACTGTTTTTGTGCTGGTTCATCAAGGTTCCCTTTTCAATCCTCATGATTCTGTAATAGGACGGTGTTCAGCTATTGTCATTAATACACATTGAAGTTGACATTAATTTAGTTGTTTACTGTTAAAAGTATGAAAATAGACTAAACAAGTTTAGCTGTCTTTTTAACTTTGTCTTGTTGAGTTCACAGTAATTCTAATGCATCTATGTTGTATCATTCAGTCATTTTGTGAATACTTTTAATCAGTTACAGTTATTGGGGTTACTTTTGGAACTTCTCTCTTTTTTAAAGCAATCTTTTAACGATTAAATGTCATTTGAGAGCCTTTTCTCCTCAGTTGCCTGGCAGTATTTAGAAGTTTCTTTGCAGTCTGCAGAGCAATGCTTGATTCTATGGTTTATTTGGTATTCTTACGTTTCTAGTTTTGTCGCAATTTTTTAGTATAAATTGCTCTACCTTGTTTCCTGGATAAGAATAACTTCTACTGTTGAATTTATGATTTTTATTTTTTATTTGTTTCCATTTAAACTTTTGTTTTTGTCATATTAATCCTGGCGTAGATTTGTGTGTGGCAAGAGTTAGGGATTCCTCTGGCGGTGTCAGTCCTGTGGTAGGAAATAGAAGAGGGACTTCCTAACAGGTCAGGAAAACTTAATTGAACAACACCAAAGAACCACAGGGCTTCAGTTTCTTTTGGAGAACATCTGTTTAGAGGCTGTTTACACAGTGTGGGGGAAGACAGGAATGCCCGTGCTGTCTGCCTGACCCCAAAGCAAACATGAGTGCTCCCTGATCGGATCAGCATCTAACTGAAGGTCCTGTGTGGGAAGAATATCTCCTCAGGTCTCTTCTGCTCAACAGAGGGGGAAAAAAAGCTCTGAAGTGCGTGACATAGACATGCTGATCTGGCAGCAAAAGAAAAGAAATCGCAATACTGAAAACCTAAACTTCCACATTAGGTTGGCATCCATTTACCAGCAGATTAAAACCACCACAGTGTGGTGGGTCACCATGATGCGCTGCCATCCCACCGTTCGCTCAGCTAAAAAGCTGGATAAATGGATGGTAACCAACCATCACTCAGATTATGTAGTTTTGTCCTTAGCTGATTTAAGAGAAGGCTGCGAGCGGGGTTGGCTGTACATTTGATATGCAGCTCCATTCCAGTACAAAATCCCTCACATTGGCTGTCCTTAATTACAGGCTGGCTAAGGAAGCTGCTTTTCTGCAAGTCAGAGGCACTGCAGACCTAACTGACTGACGAGGCAGCAGTCATGCCTCTTTTGAAATCTGCAATCAGTTAGTTGTGACATCGACCGAACAGCCGAAAAATTCCTATTTCGTTTTACTTCTCCTGCCCTTATCTGTTTGCCTCTCACCAATAATGGAAGCACATTCCTCGGTCCAATCTGGTACAGTACCAGTATGCGGTGTTTGTTTTGGCACAGCGAGGCTTGTTTCAGCGCAGTGCTTTCATGGAACAGTGAGGAGGAAGCATATGCGGCGTGCCACGCAGGCCGGGATGCCGAGGAGCGCTGCCCTGGCCTCAAGCACTGACTTTAAAATTCACATAAAAGTACAATCTTTTTCCATTTCCATTTACTCTGCAGGAGGTCATGTTAATGTAAGAAGCATCTTATTCAACTCTGATTTCTATTTCTTTTTTTAATCCTCCCCTCAGTTTAAGGCATCTGGAAAAAATAGTTGATAATGACAACCGACCACCCTCTGGATTTTGTTGGATAAACATATAAGGGAGATTGCTATGTCGTTTATGGTGGACAGGAAAGATCTTTGTCTTATGTGACCCAGTTAGAGGGAAGCAGCCAGAATGGTGTCAGACTTATCTAAGCATTCAAACACATTTTGGTCCAGTTATGCTTACACAGATTTAAAGCTGTTGCTTCATCAACATATTTAATACAGAAGAAGTTCATAATGCTGAATTAATTGCCACATCATACCTCTGTGTCGCACGTGGTTCTGTTTAATTACCATTTTTTGCATCAGTTTTGCGACATATTGTGTGTCTCTGTAAAGTAGCATCAACCTGCTGACACATTTAGAGAAAAGGTTTTTCAGAAATGGCTGAAAAACTGCTGTAGAATGAAAGGATTGTAGTGATGGAAGGCTGAATGCTGACTTTTGTTATGTCTGTAATTGACGCTGACATTGTGCAACCAAAATAACATTTCTGGAAATCCAAACCTTTTAAAAAAACAACAACATTTTTTTAAATTCACCCCCCATCTGCAGCAAATAACACGTCCTTCACAAGAAGAAAAGTCAGAAGACAAGAACGAAGAGGACAAATCTGAGAAGTCAGAGAAAAAAGAGGACGAAGAAAAGAAGGACGAGGAAGAGAAAGATGAAAAGGAGGATTCCAGGTGAGTCGGGCTCTGGTCCAGGGGAAGCGATGTGCTTTTCCTGTTTTTCAGCATTTTGGCAGCTAACGGCCGTTATTTCTGAAACAAGGCGAATTGTACATTGTCAAAAAACATCCCGCTTATATTTAACAGAGCAAATGATGTGAGGTGAGCTGGGTCATGAGCGCAGTTTAGCCAAATACCTGAATGAACCTGAGTGACTTGAACCATTAATTTCAGCCAAAAATGATGCATGAAAAAATGAATAGCAGTTGCATAATTTCAGGGTACTAGTTACACTATTGCACACACTCCAGCCCAGTTGGTGGCAGTAATGCATCCACATTAAGTTCAACCAGCTATGAAGAAGGCGCACAGGACGCCAACTCACGATAAAGTTTGATAAACGGTGAAGGATCACCAGACGTTGTTTTTCTTGTGGCTGCTTGGATAAGAGCAGGGTTGTGTTGAATGTGTGAAACAAAGAGTTTTCTTATCACCGGCCAACAGTAAATGAAAAATAAAACACTTTATTTTCCAGCGTCACATATGTAGTAAAAAAAAAAATCTATTTGAATGTTGAAAATTCTGAAAATGCGGCTCAGGCAGCATTAGATGGCACTTCCCATGCCACTATATCCTTTCAACCCACAGTTAAGAGATAACTGGAGCTTCAGTTAGTCGTCCTCTCACTTATTTATGAATCGAGTTCCATTATCCTGAAAAAGTACCTTGTTCTCTGGTCTCCATCTTTGATCAACACTCAAATAAAGGTTTTAAAACTATCTGGTGAAAATCTGAGCAACCAGCACCTCTGGTGATCTTCAGTTCTCTCGTTTCAAAATGCATGATTGGGTGCTGGACATACATTTAGTAGAGTAACGACATGTAGAGACATTCTCTAGTTTAGGGGACATCACTGTACTGTACGGTCATTCAAGTTGAGTAACAATCATAATGAGTGTTATTTATCCATGATCTCCATACTGCTTAAAAATATGACTACATACTTTAATATAGAAACTGTCTCTGGACATAGTCTGATGTCTCTTGATTCTGGTAAATGAAAGAACATGGACGCCTCACATAAAAAAGTCATGTGGTGGAGGTTCCGGGCTGTTGGACTGACGCTTGCTTGTGCTCCCGAGGAGATGTCCAACCGAAAAAGAAAAAAAAAGAAGATTTGTTAACTCGTCTAACCGTCTGTCCAGCTCAAGTGCAGACTATTTCTAATATGCCTTTCTCATGTTCAGCCTGTGGGGGAAATGTGCTGCGTCAACAGGGAAAAGATATTTGCTGCACCAGCATCTAAGAGCCGTGTCTCTCTGTCCAAAACCACAGGGACATTGGCAAGGACAAAGACAAGTGTGACGGTGGGGAGGACGAGGACGGAAAGGAGCAAAACACGCCGCGTGGCAGGAAGACTGCCAACAGCCAGGGCCGCCGCAAGGGAAGGATCACCACACGCTCCATGGCCAATGAGGCTGCATCTGTTGCAGCCGAGGAAGCGCCTCCCCCTGCCCCTGAGCCAGCACTGCCAGATCCTCCACAGCTCCCAAAATCTGAGCCAGCACAAAAGGCCATGAAAGAGCCTGCGAAACCCCTGACTCCGGTAGCCTCAGCAGATAGTAATAAAGGTGATCCCTTTCACATATCCTCTATTTCTATGCCGCTTTTAATTGACTTACCGCACACTCTCATTCAGAGTGTGCAGTAAGTCTAATTATGCTTCGAGAGGCTTCAGACCTAAGTGGCACACGGTCACGTGTCAGGACACTTGTAACGAACCGGTGGAGGTTTGCCATCCATCTATCTCCACAGCAGAGCCTTTGAAGTTTTGTTCACTCTGCAGGAAGCCGTGCAGGTTTGAGCTGAAATCTTTCTAATTTGTGTGCCCTACAATGGGGATTTCATTAGCCCACATTGCTTTGTTTGGACTCGAAATCATATTTTATGTGCAGGTTTTTTGTTTGCTGTTACATTTTAGAAGCTCAGTGCTATACCCTTGTTGTAATTTGGAGTGCTTCTCAGAAGATATGGGCTCTAAAGGTAACTGTGGGTCAGCCTTGTTGAGGGAAAATGGTATCAGGCAAATGAAAGAAGCCACTGGAAGGTAACGTTGGTATTCAATGGAATGTATATGATATGTGGTCTGTTTTCACTTCACACACATTAATGGCCACCCTGGAGGGGCCCGACTTGTCACAGGGTATCATAAATTTTGTCATGGAAAAAGGAAGCTTCGGCTTGTAGGCATTCGGTAGAGTGCATGGGAAACCGTGTAGCTGCAGGGTCCCTTGTTAGGGGCAGTATAAACAAGAGGAACTGATTTCTTCATCTTCAAAGTGGGCGGATGGTGGAAGTGCACACCTCCTCCTAATGTCAAAGGTACATCGGCAGCTATATTAGTCCAAATGTTTACACAGTCTCAGCGGGTGCCACGAGGAGATTGGGATAGAGTTCATTCGTCCCTCTCCACACTAACCGTGCATTTCTGTGAAATTAGTGGTGGGAGGAGGGGTGAGCTTTGTGGCCGAGGCTAGAAGGAGTGGAGCGCGTATCTGTGTTTGTGTCAGATGTGCAGTGTCACAGTAAAAGCGGTGGGAGTGTTTCGGGCTGGCCGCTCTATCTGCCTATTTGTCTCCATCCAAGGCCATTTCCCAAAGAGGGGAGGCACGGCTCTCAGCTCCTCCGCTGTCTGGCGCTGTGTCAGCTGACCAGAGCCCTCCCCTTGCGGATCAGCGGGGAGGAGGGCTTGCTCCAGGGCTGTGGGGAATGAGGGGAGACTCGGAGAGGGAAAGAATGAGAGGAGGCGAGTGAGCAAGAGTGAGAGTGTAAGTGAGGGAGCAGGTCTCGGCAGCCCTGAATGTAAACAGATTATTAGATTAGTGGCCATGAGAAGAAGACGGCTGAAGGAAGGATCGCTGCTCTCTCCATCTCTCTCTCTCCCTCTCTCTCTTTTACTTCTGCCGTTTTTTCTTTGTCTGTCAGTGCTGATGGGGCTGTGTGTCCTCTCTCTGTGATTTAGCTGGTGCGGGTGAAACTGGAGAAACTTCTCGCTGGACCGAGGAGGAGATGGAGGTCGCCAAAAAAGGTAGTGCTTTGATTCATTTCTCCCGTCTCTTATCACTCTTTCCTTCCTGTCTTTTTTATTTCCGTGGCCGAGGCTCCAGTTTTTTTTTTTTCTTAAACATTTTTACGATCTTGTTTTTCCCCTCCCTGATGTTTGTGTGTGTCCCCTCCGATTCTCTGATATGGCTTCACTCTGCCCGTTGTGTGCGTGCAAAAGAGATTGAGCATGCACACGCATTTGCACAAATGCAGAATAAATGATGGCGCTTTGCTGGAAGTGCACGGAGAAGTTTTTTATTTTTCTTCTTCGCTGCCATGGCGACTTCTCAGAAGTCATGGGTTTAAGTCATTCAAAACGGATCCAACCGTGACATTTACAGTTCTGTTCAACACTTTTGCAAACATTTCGCAGCCACTTTTCCCTTGTAAATTCTTTAAAAAAAAATGTATTCATTGCCACGGATGGTTTCAGGCTTCACCTCTGCAGCCATTTTATCAGGTCACATGCTACTCAAAAATGTCCCTTCTTTTACTTTCTGATTGACTTATTTGGTGTAGCTTCTCGTGCAGGGTTCCTGTGTCCCAATAGCCACAGACTGGGTGTGAATAAAGAGATTAATGTGGATTATTAAAACCCCTGCACCCCCTTTATAGAATGCATGCTGCAGTTACTTTCTCTGGCTTTCAGACTTGTTTGGTACACATGTCTGTGGATTAGTGTGGCTGAAAGAGGCCAGTCATATGACCAACCTGGTTCAAAACTCACTTTTATGCCGCTGCACATGGCCGGTCATACCAGGAAACACAGTAGACAGTTTCTGTCTGTGCTGTAACTCTAAATCTTAATCTACCAAAGACTTTGTAACACAAGCCCTTGTAACCCGCCGGGCACGGCAGTCAAGATGTAGTCATGACTGGCAAACAACAGGTTATTTAAGTGTGCATTATTTTCCCTTTATTCATTTATTTATTACATTTTACATATTTTATCCTCATCTTCCTCTCCAACCTGGAGATTATTTCTAATGAAATAATCTGATCAAAATTAGAGTTTTGACCAAAGAGGAACTTTTCATAAAAGGTTTACAGATTTGATCTTTTGAAAATGCTTTTTAAAAATGACAAATTTTGACTTTGTTAACACAGTAGTTTAAACAGTAGTAGTTTAAAACATAAATCATTTTTAAAGTGTCACACCGTTTGTCTGCCATGGAAAGAGTTTAAATAAAGATTATGCCAAATGAGCCTTCTGAGGGACACTGTTTGAACATGTTTGCAGCTTAAATGAGTGGATTGTTTCTATGGTTGCATAAATTGAAAGAAAGCTCACATCCTTTGAGATATTCATTTGTGTCAGGGGTACTGGCAACACATTTTGGTTAAAAACAAATATCGGCCGAGATATGACTGTGTGATCAAAACAGTATGCTTCATTTTACACAAGATACTCCAAACCGAAGGTTTACTCTCCCGATGCCCTCATTCCATCGTTTCGCTAGAGCAGTGACGAGGTGATTTGTTTAGTTCTGTGGTGATTTGTTAAGCTGCCAGCATCCTTCATTAAAGTAGGGCTCGGAGGGAGGGGTCACTGGGGTTACAGGCTTTCGAGAGACGGCTGCATGTCAAAGGTAGATGGCAGCCTTCCAATTCTCCACAACTTGCCAGCGCAGTTACAAAGTTTATTGAGCTCATCGAAGCCGATTGTTTACTCAGATACGCTGCAAAAGGTTCACAGGGATGCAAAAGGCCCACGGCAGGGATGTTGAGTCTTCCTCGTCATGCAAAGCAAAATTCTCATTTGGCCGACATCAAAAAGGCGAATATTTTTAAAACAAACAAACAAAGGAACTGTAAACACCCCATAAATATACAGGACTAATGATGCAACAGTAGATATGTAAATAAAAGCACAAAGATGGAAAGCCGCTTCGTACCCTACTCACATGCTGCCACCTCTGTGGAATTTAGCGTTTCAAGCTTTTCCCTTAAAAGTAAATAAAATTATGCAGCAAATTTATGATAGGACATTTTAAATAAAGATGTTTTCAGCCAGTAAACTGCAAAATTTCTTATCTCACAACATAAATTAAGTGTTTTTTCTTTTAAGCTATTTTTGTTGACTACATATTAAATACAGCTCACAAAATGATTTGAATTGGCCTGTGCAGCCTCCTTCTTGATTATTCATGCCCAGACAGGTTTTAAATATGCATCTTTAATGTGGAATTGCCTCTTTTTATCCTGCGCCAGGGCTCGTTGAGCACGGTCGAAACTGGACAGCCATTGCCAAAATGGTGGGCACCAAAAGCGAGGCACAGTGCAAGAACTTCTATTTTAATTACAAGAGACGTCACAACCTGGACAACCTGCTCCAGCGGCATAAGCAGGTAAAACTGCTCCTCCATATAACCTGGATATCCTCATAACGCCTGAGCCGAAGATGATCGTTGTTTTTTTGTGTTCTTTCTCTCCCAGGACACCCGGAGGGCTCGCGCTGATAGGTCTCAAGGGGAAGGCCAAGCCACGGCATCACCTGACGATGACGAGGACAACGCAGATGACAGTGAAGGTCAGGGCGACGGACGATAGGAAGACGCCCCCAAGGACGTGGTCCTCTTGTCTTGTTTATTTCGGGTTATAGCACAAGGGCAGCAGGGCCGTTAGCTGCACATCTGCACTGTTGTCTGCGTTGGCTTCAAGTTGTCCTCGCTTTGAGTTGTGAAGCTTTGTTTTTTCCGTCTTAAGAAAAGCTAAGTAAAGCAGATAAGACACAAGAAGAACTGGGTCCAAAATGCTCTCCTTCCTGTTCATGTTGTGGTGGCATCTGTTGCTGACACGCCGCAGTCACAGGCGTTTTTAAGTAGAATTAAGGTGCACCTCTGGTTTTGCTTTTACTCGTTTCATGCATCTGCAAAGAGTTTTTGCATACTGTAGAGCTACCATCGCCATGGCAACAGCTGCAGCAGTAGAGAACAAACAGAGCAACAGTGGCAGGCACATATTTCAAACACTCAGTTTCTCCGTGAAAGGTGTTGATTTTCAGTCAAATCAGTGAATGTTATTTGAGCCATTGACAGACCGTGCTTTGGGTTCCTTTATTTTAGTCTGCAAAGCCACTTTTTTAGATTCAAGTTATTGGCAATAGGGAAGGCAAAAAATTATTGATTTAAAAGTGACGTGTCAATGGCTGAAAGTTGATCAGGCAGAGGGGTGCGAGGCATGTAAGGAGCCTGAACCAAAAGAGACCTTGTGCACTTTCCACTAATTGAGCACTTTTTGTGAAGTCTTTAAAATAGGGGTTCCAGTGGCCTCATGATCAGATTAATGTCAAATTGATATTCCACCAGTGATAAAGCTGTTTCTGTGAAGTTTATGCTTATAATATGAGCTCTTTAGCAGACTTCTTTAAATAAAGCTCAAAATCCTTTTCTATGAAAGTTAAAAGGGATTTGGTGATTCCATTAACTAGGCCTCATTAATTCTTGGCAGAACAATTGGACTGGCTGTCTCCCTTGAAGTTACCCACGTTAAAGCAGGCTGAAAGCAGCTACTGTTGGTCTTCGTGTTTCTTGTGTTACCAATGCTTCTTTTGTGAGGTAGATTTAACAAACACTGTGTGTTGTGTTTAGTGTGCCCTCCAGTAAATCTGTGAAATGTGATGAAATGTCTGCTTTTTTTTCTGTATAATTACTTGTTCTGTTCTGTGTCTGATCCTTTATCTGCTGCCATACTAGAAAATCTACCTATGTGAGACAGTTGATAGATAGTTGTTGTCTGATGGGCAGTACTTGATTTCCTCCTGCTTCCTTAGGTGGTGACAACAGCTCTGACACAGAGAGTGCCCCCTCCCCCTCCCAGGCTGACTCCTCCAAAGCTGGGGAGTCTAAGAGGGCAGACAGCACTACGGGAGATTCTCAGTGCCCAGATCAGGAGAAAGGTCAGGCTGGCAACGGAAAGGCCGCAGAACCCCCATATGGGGAACTTCGTGTCAAGGAGGAGAAAAGTCCAGAGAGTGAGACCGGATCCCAGGAGGAAAAAGTCAGGGTGGCTCCTTTCCCGGGCCCAGTGTATCCCAAAACCGAGCCTCAAGACATGGACATGAAAACTGGAGAGGTTCAGGTCAAATTGGAGCCTGAGGTGAAGGAAAAAGGAGAAAAGGGCGATCATGGCGAGAGGCAGAGGGACCTTCATTCGGATAATGACTCAAGCGCCACCTGCAGCGCTGACGAGGACGTGGAGGCAGAGCCTGACCGACAGAGGTGAGTCCCCACAGTCCCTGTTTTTCCACTGCAGGCTGCAGAGAAACTGTAGTTTGGAGTGTGACTTAAACATCTTGTCCACCTCTGCAGATTATACACCATGGACAAGCCGTCACTGCTAAACCCTCCAGGCTCGGTGCTCGTGTCCTCACCCAAACAAGCCCAGCTCAACATCCAGCAGCTGCAGCAGCGAGCAGCCGCCATCCCTCCCATGGTTAGTGTCTGGTTCATCTGCTCTGAACGGCAAGAAGAAGGTGAAACGCCTTCTTCTTTTTAGGCAAAGTAGCACAGAAGCATATAGCAAGTAGGTAAATTGGTTAAAAATGATTTATTAGTCCTAAGACTAGTCCTTAGTCTAAACAAAATTCTAAACTCAATAGAGGCATTTTGTTTTTATTTAAGATTTGACTTTGGCTAGTATGATAATTTGCTCCATAAGTTCCTATTTAAATCTTATCCCTCTTTATCTTTCAAGGTGCCTGGTCCTTACGGCCCTGGAGGAGTGCCCATCAGTGGTTTAACCATGTTCCAACACCAGATCAAAGCAGTGCATGACTCGGCACACCAGGAGGAGAAGCAGAGGCAGGATCAGGCAGACCTGGACCGCAGACCCCACTTCAACACTCGGAGCCCAAACATACTGGACAGAGATGGTACGAGTGGAAAAATCTAGTCATTTCATCTTAGTTGCTTGTTTTAAAAGATATATACATTCACGGAATTTCACTGCCGGTGTTGTGGTGTACTAATGCATTTTTAAGGATCCACTCAGTTTATCGTTGGGGCATTTGGGTTTGATCTTTTGTAACATAGTTCGGAAGGGAGAAAAAAATCGATAGCCGATCCTGTTCTGGAGTCTGCGTTGGTGTGCCTCTGGTGGAAAATGGAGACTTGCGTGTTTTGGGCTGAGTGCACAAGAGCAGGGTGCTTGTTGCTCCTTGGCAGTCGGACATAGTCGAGCCGCTCAGAAGGTGGAGAGCAGTAAACTCGTGGCTGGGTTTTTTAGAAGCTTTTAGCGCCTTTTAGTCAGAGTGCTGTGAAGAGTGGAGCAGCTGCCAGTAAGCCGCGGAGCTTTGATGCCGCCACGGCGCGTACTTTTCAGCAGGTGTGTGCTTGCACAGGTCGGTCAGTTCTGGGTCAGCTCGGTGCTCACTGGCATTGGGCCTCTGCTTTAATAGAGGCTATCTTCCCTTTGTCCTTATGCCTGTGTACTGCAGGTAAGCTCTTACCCTACATGCCTTATGACATGATGCTGGCTCTGGACCAGGAGGGTCATCCTGGTCAGCCAGGCTCTCCCTACAGACTCTCCCCCAGGGAGCTGAGCAAGGCCTCACCTCAGCCTGACCCCAACGCCTCCTGCTACAGTTTGCCGCCAGGTAAAACAGATCCTAACCTCCTCCTTCTCCATCCCAACCCGTCTTGCCTCTGGTCTTTCCTGGCTGACAGAGCTGTTGTCATTTGGGTTTGACTCTGGGAGCTCTGTTCTGGCTCATCTGGCAGCAGTGAGTTGAACTCAGATGCTGTGTGAGTAACGTTTTAGATTCTTAGAGGCATTTTTATGTAAATCTGTTTACTATTTTGTGCTGGTGTTGGCAGCTGAATTTGGCGCAGAGAGGGTATCTGTTGTATCACTTGTAATCCAGCTGTAAGTCAGGGTTTGGCTTTTTTCCCTGCAACTGTTTTGCATTGGTAACACTTCTCTGAAGGTATATCTACCAACAAAAGATTTACTGCGGGAGGAATAGGTTTATAAATTGGGTTTAGTTTGTGTGTCCGGCAGAGATGATGATGACCACAAAAAGCTTTGTCTGATCGTTTGACAGTGTTGGATCAGATAAGCCTGCTCTGGAAATTAGATGGATAAAATGGTAATGATGCATTCCCATTATGAAAGGCAGCTTTGATAATGGATTAAAAAGGAAAAAAGTGGCACCAATCAAAGGAGTGGAAAATCAAACATGCTGAAAAGTGTTTAATTTGTGGTATGAAAATGTATTTTTTCTAAATGAATGTAAATGTTGATATCGAATGTACCTAAATCGGGAAGCACAGGCTTAAAGCGATGCAGCATCTATTGCTGGATTTTTTTTTTTTTTCTTGCACAATTTTTGTTGTTGTGACACCATCTCAAACACATCATCCTGGTATAAGGACATGTATAATCACTTCGAGACATGTGCACAATTTGTTTTTCCTTTTTTTTTTATTGCTGCTAAAAGTACTACATGGGAGAGGAAAAGGGAGGATCAAAGTTTCATAAATTTGTCACAGACCGGCTTGTTTTCTCCTCATCAGCCGGTGGTGTGATGACGTCTGTGCCCGCCGGAGGACGTCTCTCTGCCATTTATATTCCTGATTCGGTAGAGCTGAGAGCACGAGGTGTTTCTTCCTGCAGCGTGGTTACTCCTGGTTTGTGTGGGTGTTCATTTGTGGTGGACTATGATCTATTTTGTCCGCTCAGCTTTCCCAGGGGACATTAAAGCAGACAGCAGGCACTGGCCAAACTTACCTTAGAACAAGGAGAGGCTATTAGCTGAGGCTTTCAGTGCTTACTTCACCACTCAAAGTGTCATATGAATGCAGATTAATACTTTATTGTGCACTCTTTGATGGAACATTAGGCTTACAAGATTTAGAGTTATGGTTTAGTTGATGTGATGTTTGATATTTACTCCCCAGGTGAATATTTAATACAGGAGTATTTATAATCAGAAGCCTCCGATTTTCTGTTTCTTTGTAAATCTCTTCCAGTCCTCCACCCTTCCCCCAACCAGCTGGTCCAGACTATGAATGATGGAGTCCGCGTGACGTTCAGCAGGCCCAGTAGGCCCCCCAACATTCCCTCTCCTCCTCCACTCATTCCAACCACCAAGCCCACAGACAAGCCCTCCTTCATCCAGGGCGGCTCCATCTCCCAGGTGAGACTCTCCACGCAGATGAAGCCGTGCCTCAAAGCCCAGCGCCACTCCTTTCTCACTTTCCCCATCACTTATGTTCGGTCAAGTCTAATTCCTTAATCTTGTTCATGCGCATTCTTAGATTGAGCAAATCAGGGTTTGCTGTCCCCACCATGACACACTGACCTATGTCGAACTTGATCTTATTCACGCATCTTTACTTTGTGCTTTGGCGCACTCTTGTATATTACATGACAACTGTCTTGATTAGTTTAATCTTTTTTCACCACATGATATAGCTTATGATTTAATGTCTGTGTGTTAGAGGCTCAGAGCGAACACATAAAAGATGATGAACATCACTTGACACCACTTTATTGTTCTCATGGACATGGTGACCTGAACTTGAGCTGAGTTCTTTGTCCTCTTTTTTTTTTTTTTTCCAGGGAACTCCTGGAACATATTTGCCTTCCCATGCTGTGTATGGGCCAGAAGGGACTAAAAGCTCGGTGGGTTCCATCTCTCTGGGTTTGCCTCGGCACCTGGATCCTAACAAGCCTGGTAAGAAGACAAACTCTCACATTTCTTTTCTTTTTCTTTTTCTTAAATCACTGTTGATGGAAATGGAATACAAGCACTGGCAAAGTCTTTATGGAAATGTAGAAATTCAATTAAAAATAAGTGAGCTCAAACCTCTCCTGGTTAATGACACCTCTGAGCTACGATTAAAATTTAAAGGCCATGAGATATTTAGCCCGCTATGTCTTAGAATTATCCTGTAAAAGCATTTTATGGCCTTTTCAGTGTTTGGGAAGTCATTTTGCAATCGCACTGATGCCTTATTTAAGAGCTGCTGGATTTTCTGTTTCTTGGTTCTTTGGACTAAAAAGGATCCATTGTAAAAATGAACTCGACCATAAAGGAAGGCCATGCAGGGATCACATGAAGATAATCAAACGTTCATGCTAGCTGTTTTTAAAAACCCTTTGCTACAAACTTTAGAGGCCACAGCATCTTTCTACTTTGACTTCCTATAAACCTCAGCTGAGATATACTGTATACTGGATGATGCCAGGTACTTGGTACTACTACAGTGCAGTTGTGTCACTGTGCCAAAGCCTAACTCCTAATGACCAAGTTTCTCTTCTTCTCTCTGCAACTCTCCAGGGGCTGCTGTGTCGTCCATCCAGGATGGCAGAGGCAACCCAGCGAAGGTCAGCGATAGCATGGCTTTCAGAGGGTCCATCACTCAGGTAAAGAATAGACGCACCAAGGCTGTTTAGTGTTTTTGTCACAGTGCCCATTTTACACCGCTCTGACATTTTCCTCTCCCCTAAAATAGGGCACTCCAGCCCTTCCCCAGTCTTGCGTTCCTGCTGAGTTCTTGAAGGGTCCGATCTCAAACCTGGTCTTGGGGGACATGAGCATCCCAGACAAGGCCAGGGGGGAGCAGCTGGCGAAAGGTCACGTCATCTATGAGGGCAAAAGCGGACACATCCTCTCCTACGATGGTCAGTGTTATTGATGTGCCAGTTTACTACATTTCATAATTTAGTGCACAGGTTTAATTTTTAATTGGTTTATTTTTTATAGCTATAAAGAACCCCAGGGAAAACACTCAAAGCCCTCGCACAGTCAGTGAGCTGAAACGTTCACATGATATGATGGAGGGACCCATGGGCAGGGGACACCCTGGCAGGGAGGAAGCTCCATTTGAGGGTACAGTTTTGTGTCACTTTAAACACAGAATATTATTTGGTTGTTTTGTCTGTATAAGTTGGTGACTATGCCAATATCTCTCCCCCTTACAGGGTTAATTAGTAGAGCAATGCCCAGAGATACTCACCATGGAGACCCTAAAGAGAGACCATTAATCACTGGATCCATTATGCAAGGTTGGTAATTGAGACATGCCACAGTTCTCTTAGCTTCTCATCGTTTGTCTAAAAACATAGGGATGATATCATTTTCTCCTAACTTTTCCAGGAACACCGAGAACGGCTGCCGACACTTTAGAGGATACCATTAAATATGGGAAACGGATTAAAAGAGATAGCCCACCCATCCGATCCTTCGACGGGGCTATTGGCAAGGGCAAGCCCTATGAAGGAGTTAATACTATCAAAGAGATGGGACGTTCCATTCACGAAATCCCACGACAGGACCAGTCTGGTCAGGACATGCGCAAAACTCCTGACCTGCAAGACAGGAGGGTAATGGAGGGCTCCATGTCTCAGGTTAGACACTAAGAGGAGGGGCATGCTGCTAATACCTGCTATTACATTTAATCTGAACTGAATCTTGGACCTTTGCTTTAGAAAGAAACCATTAACAGACACACAGAGCTAAATCAACCAGCATCATAATGATGTTGACTAACATATTGATCAAAACCTCTTCCCACTTTGAACAGATCCACCCCATGAATCAGCCTACTATCAAACACAACGTGAAGTCCCTCATCACTAGTCCCAGCAAGCTTCCCCACAGTATGCCCCAACTGGAGGCAATGGAGCGAGCTAAATACGAGGAGAACAAGCCGGTACGCCACACGTCTGTGGTGAACTCCACCACCTCTGTCCTGCGCTCCACCCACCAGGAGGCAGGAAAATCCCAGCACAGTCCGGGCATGTATGATGACACCAATGCTCGCAGGACCCCAGTGAACTACAGCACCAATCCCGTCTCCAGAGGATCACCCATGCTTGGGCGTTCTTCAGAAGGTATGGGTTACATTGCCTGAAGTACTTGACCATTACTTGTTTAACATTGGAATGCCTAAAATTGTAAGTTTAGAGAAAAATTGAATTAGACGTTTTGCTAAACCAGATAATCTAATTTCAGTGAATGAGGATATTAGGGGTAATACATAATGTGCAGACTGTGCTGAGGGCCCTGGATGCCCTACTCCTGATTCAGTTTTCTGTGCCAGTAGACAGCGATTTGATATGGACCTGCAACATCAGCAGATTTTGTGAACCAATTGTGTTCCTTTGTCTTCAGGTATTATGACCTCAGCAAAATCGGGTGCCCACGAGAGAAAGAGCACCATGACACCGACACAGAGGGACAGTGTCCCAGCCAAGTCCCCCGTGTCAGGGGGGGATCCTGTATCCTCCCACAGCCCCTTTGACCGACACCACGGGCCCGTTGGTCCTGGAGAAGTGTACCGGGCCCATTTGCCTCAGTTTGACTCTCCCCTGACCTTCCCCAGAGTGCTGGATCCTGGTACAGAGTTTAAGCCTACCCACTCTTTCCACTTAAGCTATTATTAGAAGAGTAATAGCCTTGATTCAGAGCACATTGACGAAAGCAGTTCAGCAACTGTAATTCATAGGCATTACATGCTCGGGTTCTTTTTCAGTTGTTGATGTCTGATTGGTATCTGTTAGCATTTGGTCCATGTTTTATTTAATTTTTTCCTTCCTCTCTCTGTTTCAGCATTCATGTTCCCCAGGCAGCCCTCCCCAACTGGCTACCATAACACCTACCAATTGTACACCATGGAGAACACGCGGCAGACCATTCTCAATGATTATATCACTTCCCAGCAGATGCAAGTCATCCCGCGGCCTGACATGGCCAGAGGACTGTCGCCACGGGAACAGCCTGTTGCTCTCCCGTACGCAGCCAGCGCCCGAGGTACGGCCCTAAACTCGCTGACTCCCTCATCTGCCTCAGCAGGCAGGGGAGAGGCCGTTTGCAGGGGGCGGGGGGGTGTAGTTTGCAGACTGTGTGCTTGTGAAGTAGTGGCTACCTTTTCCAGACGCCCAGAAGCAAATGACCTTTCACAAATTTAGCTGATTTGCTCTTCTAATGAGGGCTGCAACCGATTCGGCTTTGACTCAATTTATCAATTGGGTATGGTCATCAAAATCTCATTTTGCTGAGTGGTTGCCTTATACAAGTTGACCACTATTCCACTCCGTTTGCAGCCCCGTTGCATTTTGATCAATCTGTATTTTGGAGCACTAACAGATGAAAGTGATGGGTTACAGCTAAGTGTATACGGTGTTCATACATTCAGAATTTGATGGATTGGTTCTTGTTGTTCACCGTTGGCCCTTTGCTTCTGTCTGTAAAAGGGATTATTGATCTAGCCCAGATGCCTCCAACTATCCTGTTGCCTCACCCTGGGGGAACAGGTACTCCCACTTTGGAACGCACCGCCTACCTCACTGGAGCTCAGCCCCCTTTCCCTGCTAGGGCTTTCAACCCAACCTCCATATCGTCAGGTGAGGACCCCTCCCTCCCCTATCCCTACATCCCCCGTTCCCGTAATCCCTTAACCTCCCTGCCACGATCACCGTGTTCCCTCACGCTCGGTAAGACTGTAGCCCTGCGCTGGCCTGAGGGGTCAAAGGTCAGTTTTGCCTGTCCGAGATTTAGTGTTTCAGCAGTGGGAAGTGGGAACTGTCTCTTATCAATGTCTGATTGCTGCATGACATCTGTTTTCTACAAAATGTGGACAGAACCGTAGAAAACGGCTGTAGCTGTCTGAAAATGGCCGTTTCTGAGCCTAACAGCAAGGTAGCCTGATCCACCCTGTCAAGACCACAAGCGTAGTGTGTTAATAAATGCTTGTGTCTGTGATGTCCATCTTCCTCAGGTCATCCAAGCCATCTTGCTGCCAATGTGGAGAGAGAACGGGAGAGGGAACAGCAGGAAAAGGAGAGGGAGAAGGAAAGGGAGCAGCGGGAAAGGGAGCGGGAGATGCGAGAGAGAGAACGAGAGCGGGAGCGGGAGCGAACCAATGAATACATGCGTGGAGGTAAACGCCTCAGTTTATGCGATAGTTTCATGCAGGGAATCTCTTATAGGAGCCTGCTTTAAAAAAGAAAAAAGAAAAAAAAAAGAAGGAAAAAATAACAAAACCCCAAAAAGTTTTGCAACATTTTCCGTTTTTGTACGTTGTTCAGGTGGACCAGAGCAGCCCGTTCGGCCCGGGAGTCGAGGTTATCTGCATTCTCCTTCCCCCTCACTCAGAACACAGGATGTTGTCGTCCAGCAGCGGCCGAGCATCTTCCAGGGAAAGAGTGTCATCACCTCTTTAATGTAAGCCGAGAAGTTCTACAACTCACTCATCCTCCATATTTGAAAACAGTTGTTGTAGTGGCTGTCCAAACACGGTATCCGTGAAGTTAAACCAGCTCAAGAGCAGAGTTACTCAGTGTAAACACAATTAGTGGTTGGAGTTCAATCATGCATCTTATTAGGAGTCCATCTTAAACAGTCAAGTCCTTTCCTGAGTAATTCCCAAATCTGGTCTCTTTCCTGTTTGATTCCCACGGTTTTATTTTTTATTGACTGTTGTATATATATTATATATATTATGGTAACTCAAGTATAGATAATAAAGAAAGTTTTTTTTGTGCAAAAGCCTTTTTGCTTGTTTAAACAATGTTCTGTGTTTCGTTTGTCCCACTTCTTGTTGTTTAATGCCAGTTAAAGGCCACATAGTGTGTTTGGCTTCAGTTTTCCACTGCGGCCAGAAAATCCCCAATTTATCAGCATTAATTCATCAATTCTGTTTATGAATAAGATAATTATAGTGGTAGCCACATGCTTTTCATATCTGTGATCTTTGGTGCCCCCTGCTGCCCTGAAGTTTTCATCTCAGATAGCTGGATCTCCACTGAAAGAAACACAAGCTTAATGCCAGCATCCAGAATATCTGACGTGGTGCTCTAAAGCGACATTTGGGACAGGTCTTGATACTGGACCGGACACTGTTTGCTTTACATATAACCCTTATCTCCTCATTTCCTCCAAGGCCTCATCAGCCAGCAGTGACGTCAGCTCCTCAGAGCAGCTCGCGCTACAGCACCGCAGCTGATGTCCTGGACGCTTTGGTGGACGCTGCAGCCTCTGCTCCGCAGATGGACGTTTCCAAGGCAAAGGAGAGCAAACACGAACGGGACGATGAGATGAGCTCATCAGCTGCCACGCGGAGAGCTCCCAGCCTCTCTGAGCAGCAGCAGCAGGAGACAGAAAGGCGATCCCTGCACTCACCGTACAGCGCCATGTCCCTGCCTGGAGGAAAGCCTCACCCAGCTTACTCTGAAGGCCCCGGGGTGGGGCCTAAAGATAAGGGACCTCAGACAAAGTCTCGCATCGAGGAGGAGCTTCGGACTCATGGAAAGACGACCATCACAGCAGCTAGCTTCATCGATGTCATCATCACACGTCAAATAGCTTCAGACAAAGACTCTCGTGAGCGAGGCTCCCAGAGCTCTGACTCCTCAAGCAGCTGTGAGTGTTTTTTTTCGATTAACACATATGAGTCTTTACAGCAACTTCCCTACTATGCAACAAAAGAAATCAACAGTTAGCTTAACAGGAAATAAATGACAACAAAACCGGACCATTCTCTTGTCTAAACCCTTTGCCCATACTTAATTTGCAGTGTCGTCTAGTCGGTATGACAACACAGCCGGCGGAGCCATCGAGGTGATAAGTCCTGCTAGTTCTCCAGTCCAGTCCCAGCAGGACAAAGCAGACGATGGCCAACAAGCAGCAGGTATGATCAATTAGCTGAGGGATCACTTGATTTATACTTAGAAGTTTGTTTTAAAAAAAGTAGCATTTTTGGGGGTCAAATTTGAAATGGTAGAAAGGCAGGTTCAGTAGCAGAGTAAACGAGCAGAGTGTGCATACCGTAAATTGGAGGACTTGACATACTGACATTTGAACCTCTCAGACATTCCTCTGCACCCGTCTAGTCACCAGACTGCACGAGATGCTATTTTTGTCACCTGTAAGCTGAGACTTTTGGCATAGAGCCTGTTGGTCCAGTCGCTGCCTCATCACTTCTCATCACTACTTCACACTTTCTATTTTAATGAAACAATACTGTCCCTGGTCAACCTTCCAGTTAGTATGCGGCCTTATGAGATGAGTCGTTACCGGCCATCAGGGGAGCCACCACAGCCCCCTTCTTCCCAGGCAGACAACTACTCGCAGGTCCCCAAAACTCACAGAGTCATGACGTTGGCGGACCACATTTCGGTAAGAAGTTGTTGCAGAACACTAACATTTACATCAGAAAAAGTGATGACTAAGCACAGCCTGTCCTTTTTACTTGACTAAATGGATTTTATTGGTTTTCCCTGAAATGCAGCACATAATCACCCAAGACTTCGCCAGGAATCAGGACCCTCCCGTTTCCTCTTCAGCCTCTGCCACATTCCAGAGCTCCGTGCCGCCGGTGTCCGCTTCAGGCCGGGTCAAGGTGCCCAGCCGCTACAGTCCCGAGAACCAGCTCTCACACCACCAGAGACCCTCCAGCAGGGTGTCCCCTGAGAACGCCCCTGAGAAACCTCGAGCCAGGTATGCGCGGCCACCACCATCAGAGCCAGTTTTCTAACCCCCTTTAGCGAATGAACAGTTTTCCCATCTACTCTCTTTCCAGGCCCGGTAAGTCTCCCGATCGAGGGGGCAGGCCCATGGAGAACTACGAGCCCATCTCTCCTCCACAGGGTTACCAAAGCATGGACAAACAAGATGTTGGCGGGCCTTCAGCCCAGAGACGAGAGCCTGACAACTCAGAGATCAGGTACAGGAGCTTCATGGTTTATTTTCTTCATGCTTATCAGAAAAGTTTTGGGAAAATACTGTAGCAGATTTCGTGTCAACAGCGGTGGAGCAAAAGAGTTTGCACAAGCAGCTGGAAAATAGCTTCCAGCCACTGGACAGCACTTTTACCAAACAGGAGTGTGCCCAGTGGCAGGGAGTCCTTTGTCCCAGGGCCCTTCTGTCATTCAGCTGCTCACAGAAGGAAAAGGATGAAAGGGACCTGAGGACATGAGTCTGACCCATTCCTCCCCAACTCTTCATACCATATGATATATACTATATTTTTGTTTATCGCAGCCTAGCGTGAGTGTGTATCAGTGTGGTTGTACTCCTGCACCAGTTTTTTGCATCACCAACATGGCTGACTTTAAATCTACCACAGAAATCCATTACACTGCTAATTTGGGTAATGGAGTTTGTGACCTTGTCACTGTTTTCCCAGTGAGGGTAATTTGGCATCATATCTGTGCATGTGAGTGTATTTCATGTATGTACAGTATGTATATATCAGAAGACCCCAGATACCCTAGTGGGGTGAAAAGTGTCATGTCAAACTTTCTGTTGCCATGGTTACCCATTACCTCTGCTTTTGGTTGTTGAAGGAGTGACTCACGGTCCCCGGGGAACGTCAGCTACCTGCCTTCCTTCTTCACCAAGTTGGAGAGTACCTCGCCAATGGTTAGATCCAAGAAGCAGGAAATCTTTCGTAAGTTGAACTCCACTTCTGGTGTCGGTGATTCTGATGTTGGTAAGTGGGTCCTCCTTCATCCCTTGTGTAAAATCCATTCATTCCCACTAGCTCCTCTCACTCATTCAGCATGCCAAAACAGTTTAACAACACCTTTATTAGCTCACTTTCTTATGAAATATTTGACCTTTTTTTTCTTCTTTTGATATTTATTGCACAGGAAATGCACAGCCGGGCACAGAGATTTTCAACTTGCCCGCCGTGACGAGCTCCAGTAAGTAGGAAGGAAGCCAAATGAAGCAGCTTTTGGTTTCAGTTGAACCGTTTCTCTCCTAATAGTGCATTTGGTTGTGTATTTGTAGGTAGCATCAACCCAAGAAGTCAATCCTTCAGTGATCCAGCCAGTAACCTGGGCTTAGAGGACATAATCCGCAAAGCCTTGATGGGTAACTTGGAGGAGAGACAAGAGGAGCACCAGGGAGGAGGAGGAGGAGGAGCCTCAGGGGCAGGCAGTGACGGGCGGCAGGAGGCCAGTCCATCACCCAGTATGGGTATGCTGCAAACAAACAAGAACAAAGAAATAAGTTAAAAATCCATTTTAATTCCTGTGAGAAGAAATAAACACCAGCACTGTTTGAATCTGCAGGAAAACAGAAGCAGGGCAAAGCAAACAGCCGGAAATCCAAGTCGCCTAATCTGGGTCAAGCCTACGCTGGAGGGGAGCGTCCATCATCGGTGTCTTCCGTCCACTCTGAGGGTGACTATCACCGACCAACCCAAACCCAGTGGAGCTGGGATGAGCGGCCCTCCTCCACCGGTGAGCTCCCTGCCTGCACCGTCGCTATATGGATGTACTGGGGGGAAAAAAAATCACAAACCGTTTCTTACTGGGCTCTTATTTTTATCATTTTCCCATAAGGTCCCATGCAGTTTCCGTACAACCCGCTGACCATGCGCATGCTGAGCAACACGCCACCCACTTCCATAGCCTCGCCCTCCATTCAGAGCCAGCAGCAGCAGCAGCAGCAGCAGCAGCAGCAGCCGCCTCCAGGTGGGGCTCCTGTGGCCCAGCAGCGGGTGTGGCAGTCCCTCCTGTCGGAACAATACGAGACGCTGTCTGACAGTGACGACTGAGCCCCACGTCCCACAGCCCCCAGAGGCAGAAGAGAAACCCACACCGAGGCCGGATTGTTCACGCCCCTGTCCCAGAACTAAATCACTTACTGGCAACAGTAGTTGGGGTGGTGTCTTTTTTTTTTTGTTTGTATTTTTATTTTGTTTTTGGTGCTATGGCGCCCCCTGGCTGTTGGTTACCAGTACCATTAGCAGCTCGTGACAGGCCGAGATCTCCCGAAGAAGACTTCCTCCTGTTTGAGAAGCTCCCGCCAAGCCTGCCGGACACATGGGCAGACGTCACCTGAGGGGTTGGCTCAAGTCAAGCTGAAGAACTTAAAATGTTAACGAAAGAAACAACATAAGAAACTTTTCGCAATTTTGTGTGATTTCTGTAAAGATATACCCTGTCTTTAAGAAGATCGTTGTCTGTAAATAGAGTAACCTTTTTGCAGTGTTTTTCTTAACTTGATTATTTCTTATTTTAATGTTGCTTTTAAATCGATCCACTTTAAACAGAGAGAGCAGGGCTGCAATGTTTAGTGCCACAGTTGCTCTCCCAGCCCACTTCACCCCCTCTGATGTCACCCACTCAAATGTTTGTGCCGCCATTGCAACGCTAAAGAGAGACCGACCTGTGGCTTGTACTTGACCGTGAGTGGATAAGGGAGCTTGCGCGAAGCACCACCAAAGCCTGAATATTATGGACAATTGAGGACAAAACAAAACTCAAAACATTTCGAGCAGCGTTGACATCCGATGCCCATCTTCGTCACACAGTGGAGATGATGCATGAATTGTAACTGTCAGGTGGTAGAGATAACTTCTTACCCCTTTATAGCAGAGAAATATTGTCAAAACAAGTTGAGAACACTGGTGTCATAGCAGAAAGGTGAAAAGTCTGATATAAGCTTACCAGAAATTATATCCTGATGACTACTCCTGGACCCCTTCTGAACAATGAAAGTGAGCCAATACGTTGTTTTTTCTTTTCTTTTCTTTCAACAGAGCTAACTGTACTGTTTCACATCTCTGCAATTGCGGTTTCCAACCTACCAGGAATGATTATTGTTTTCATGGTTTAAAAGAAAAAGTTTGTCAGGAAGTTTTTCTTTATTTGGGAGTGATGCTTTTGCCACGCCTTGTGACTTGAGAGAGAAGGCAGCTTTAACTAATTTTCTCAGAGATATATCTTGGTGTTTGATGTTTGTATTTGTTTCTTCAGTCCCTTATTTTTTTTTATATACTTTCCTGACAACAATCTGAACTGTAAATTGTCTTTCCATTAGACAAAAAAAGACAAAACTAACCAAACTTAAAGAATGGTCTGCACCATTGTTGCACTTTTTTTTGCTTTGTGGCTTTTTGACAACAGAAAGCATACTACCTGCTGTGTAACTTATTCAACATCCAGCCCAGTACTATGGTAAGATGTGCTTAAACTTTTCCCATCACCCACAGAAATCTGGATGTTTTCATTTCCTGTCATTTCTTATAGTTGGTACATGTGTTACACCTGCATCACAGTTACAGTTTTAAGTGCATGGTACCGTCAAATGTTTAGTAATTTGCCGTCACGGTGAACCTCGGCCGCTTCATCTTTGCTCTCAGTGTCAGTCAGCAGATATAAAGCTTTGGATTTGACTTACTAATGTCAGCTTCATGAAGAGTAGTACCATAGCCCTCTGCGTCTTCTTTGTGAAGATATGTGAACAGGATGCAATAATTCGGCTTTCACTGCTCTGTTATCAGATCCATTCTGCGGTAATTTAATTTTGATTTTGAAAAATGTGTTGTAGCACATTCTCAGATTTTTTTCCCACCTTTTGTTTGTCCTCCTCTTTAGAGGGGATGCTATGTGTTTACAGAGCGTTGACAAAAAAGTTTACAAACTTGAATCTTAATAGAAATCTGACATGAAGCCGAAAAACTGAATTCGGGCACACTTTCAGCTCTCTATCAAACACACAGTGGTGACCTTTTTTTCCTTTTTTTTTTTTTTTAAATTGAGACTTGAAACCCCATGTGTCCTATGATGTTGAAATGCAATGTTTGTATCGCACAATGTCTCTTAGTAGGCTATTATAAGAGTTCAGACCAATCAAATAAAGTGGATCAGTTCTCCGCCACTGAAAAATTTGTAGGTTTATAGGTGTGCCATCTTTTTTTCACTTTATTTTTATTTTCTGACTGCACAATGTCATAATGCTTGTTCACTGAGGTGTACTGCAACTGTTCACTTTCATTTCTGCTGGTGAATTTATGCAATATAAAATGAAAATCTGTCAGGATTTGCAATATAATAAATAGTATATAATATTATTTAATCAGTCTATTTATTATCATAGACTGACTTTCATCATCACAGGTTCACTCTTCATAGCCTGAGCAGTAAAGGTAAATGTTTGTCTTGACCATTCTGGACTAATACAGTCTGCTTAGAGACTGGGCACTCAGGGTAAAACAAGCACATTTTTTTCGCGATATACAAGTTTTGATTATTTCTATTTTTCTGATTGTACTACTTTATCCTCAGGTGTGCAACCTGGTAATATGTCAGTTTGTTTGTCTGGAACTGCCATAGATCTATCGATAAACAGTGTTGTTAATTTATTATTTAAAGTAACTTAATTTACACACTTAATTTATACACAAAATATATTTAATCAAAATTGCGTGATATAAAATATTTATATGCGATAAAACCATTAATCCCGAGTAAGGAACCTTAGTGAGTAAACAGGGGATACAAAACAGTGACGTTAAACCGGACGTTGCGTACCAGTTGTCTTATTGGCTGTACGACTTCCTGAAACAAACCACTTTAAAAATGCGGTCATTTTTGCCAGCAGTGGCTCAACAACTTCTCATAGATATCCAGAAAACATATCAAGAGACCTCTCAAAGTAAGATCACGATTGTAAAACGGGTATTAAAGTTCGTTAGTGGCAGCTAAGGTCTTGGTTTGAATATATGTTTGTAGATGACAGCGGAGCACGGACGGTCTAGTCTCTCTTAATAGACTTGCTGTCGGCAAATCCGTCAATATTCTGTCTCTCATAGTTCAAAGGCAACTCTCCTAAAATGTGGCTTGTTTATAGAAACGTTATTCTGGCCTTTCCTTTTCATTAAATTATGCTATCTGTTTTGAAACCGTGATGTAGTGTAATATCTGAGCTGCAGGGGACGCTGGTTCAATGAAATGCGAACTCGCTAAAGATGCAGTATAATGCTTATTTACACAGCTGAAAAGTGAGGCGTTTTTCACATGTTCTAACGTGTCCAAATACATAGAAAAGCTCATGTGCTGCTATTAATAGCAGGATTGACTAATAAGCCATGCAGACAAATTGATTCAGTTATCTTGAACACCTGCGCTGTGAACATGGTGTAATGAACGTTCAGACTCACTGAACTGGCTAAAAAAGACACTCAAACATGATTGAATTAGTGAGAAAACATTTTTTGGAGCATTCATAAAATGAAAAACATCACAACAGAGTTCCTTGATCATTTGATTAACAACAAATACACACAGTATACTTCCTGGTGGTTTTGGTGGCTAAGCTGAATCTGACACTGGAATTTTAACTGTTTTTAACATACATTTTATACATATATATATATGAAACTCACACTCTTTAATACTGCAGTGATATACCAGTTTAATATTGACACATTGCCAGTGTTATTTCTTTCTTTTCTTAAATAACTTGCATCTTTAAACAGTCCTTCAACTAAATCTTTTGACAAAGTGCTCTTTTCTGTTTGCAGTTCCTGATGAGCTTCTAATTGCGTAAGTAACAGTAACACACGCTTCCATCACAGTCTCTTAGCTCTGTGACCAATTACATTCATTTGCCTTTACGCACATCTTTTTATTAGACTGTAAAGAGCATCAATAAAACTGGTCACTATGTGCAATCTGAGTTAGTATGAGGTAAAGCGGTCTGCTAATGGCGCAGTGAGTCTGTGAGAAGTTCAGAAACCTTACTGCATTCGGATTTGCCCCGCTGACGTGCTATTGGGACACAGTGTCATGTTGCTGCGTAAGTATGGTGACTGAGGGGGTGCTCCTTGTCTGGGTCATCGAAATCATGTCCTGTTTGTTCATCAGGAAGCTTCTGGTTTAGGGACCCACCTCACTGCGGTTTCCCACAAACAGACCAACACTTCTTTGTGTAAAATATCTCCTGGGACATTAAACTTTTTCAAATATGGATTATTATCTGTTGCTTCTTTCATTCCTGACAATATTAAGTGAAAGTTCTGTGTATTGTAAAAAACAAACTAACTTGATAAATATAAATGATATAAAGAATCACTGCATAACAGGATCTCTGTTTATTGATGCGTCTGTATTATTTTTTGCATTTGAAAAGAGTTGTATTTTGTCAAGTTTAATGATCAGATTTTAGTTTTATTCCCCAAATCTTTTAGGCTCAAACACCAAGGAAGTTAGGAAATAATTGTAAAACATATTTATGTTGGTTGTTTTTGTGAAGAGTAGCACCTGAATCTTAATTTAATCTTAAAATGAGAAGTAATTAGACTGATTCCCCTCCACGTACACGCTTCAATGCAACTATGACGTTTCTTTATAAACGCACATACCACAGCCTTCTATTTAATGGCCTTTTATTAGCAGCATGTCAATTTAAAGTGAGCACAGGCTGTTACATAGTCGAACATCCACAAGAAGTTTCAAGTAAAAGATCTTCCTATTATCTTTAAAAAGATATAAAGATACATAAAATGATGTGTCTTTGCTTTAAGTTTTAGCTCTCATGTTTTGTTTCTCGTGTCTTACAGGCTGAAATTTGTCTTTGGCTCCTGTGCGTTACAGGCTTTGAACCTGGTAGACGAGCGTTCTGTCACCTGTCTTTCGTCTCCGAGTGGACGCAAAGTTTACCAGGTTTGTTCAGTATTTGTCAATGCCTTGCTTTTGACAGGGTTCTTATCCCTCAAACGAGTTACTTGTCTACCACGGAGAGACAGTTTTTTGTATGAGCTGCAGTGTTATTGAACAGAGATCTGTTTGTGTCCTTCTTAATCACATTATCAGTGAACTCTTCGGTACTTAAAAACACATGGAAGGGATGAATGGATAAATGCTATTCATGATTATATGTGTGTTGTTGAAGACTAAGAGAGAATAGCATAAGCCAGAGCCCACTGAGGTGAAAGAATAGAATGACCTCCTCTACTGTGGAGTGGCTTTCAAAAACATTTTTATTCAGTCGTGAGTGCTCGACTGCAAGATGCAGCGGTCAAAATGGTCACTGTAAACACTGGAGACTTTAAGGAGCTCTGTACAAGCAGAGGCAGTGTGTGTGAAAGGCTTGGAAAGCAAGATTTGAAATGCTGTTGAACAATGGCAAAAATAAGCCCCTGTTTGTATCCAGCTATATCTTCATTTCAACAAAATCAATCCTTCCAAGGCATCAAGCCTCTGCTTATTCTCACATTTTGATATGTTTTCCAGCTAAAAAGTCCTATTTCATGACCTTGCTGAAGAGTTTTCAGAAGAAACCCCCTTCATAGTCTAGTGAAAGACTGTTTCACTATACTATGAAGCACGGTGGGGGAGGGCTGATGATATGGGCTGGTTCTGCTGCCACAAGACCTGGACATCTTGCAGTCATTAAATCCACCATGTCCTCCTCTGGATTCTAAAGAATTAAAGCAAACAGAAAAAGAAATGAATCAAGGCGCTAGATTCGTAGTAACATTGGAAAGAAAAGTGGGTCCAAATACACCCCCCTCTCATTATTGTTATTGTAAGAGTTACTCTGTAGCTGCTTAGCATTTGTAGCTCAAGGTGTTCTCACACGTGACGACGACAGCAGCATATATAGCATCTGCTGCTTGTAAATACAAAAACAAACTACAAAATGCAATATAAGACTGAGGATGGAGTAGTGAGTAGTGAGTGTTGGTTATTCAAGAGAATTTCTAAAATTTAATCTGTGAACGTGACCTAATGCTGCCAGATGAGCTCATTCCTTTTGTCTTTGTTGAGTCAGTCTGGCCTGGGAGTTAAAAACTAGCCTCAGAGAGAAACAAAGCAGCCCACAGACGCTGTGGTCATTGCGCCCGAATTTCCTGTAAACTCCTTCAGGCCGGTGTAAAAATAGTTTTATAAAGAGATCTGCAAATGACAAAGCAGCTGCAGAGGGACGCGGGTTTGGTCTTGTTCTGCCGGGGCCCTTTTACCCCAACATGAAGTCTCAATTGTTCACTCCATCCTCCTCAGAGCAACTCATTAAAATCATTTTTTGTATGTTTTGTATTTTCTCCTGGAGCAGTGAAATGAGTGTGAACCTGCAATCACATCCCTAAGCTCCCTGGCTGTGAAAAAGGATGTGTTCAGTGTTCAAACAGGTGATAAAAAATAACCACCAAAGAGTGAATTCTGGTACCTGATGCTTTCAGAGAAACCTAAAAGTTTATTTTGTGCAGCACACGTCCCGGCTCAGAGTGCTTAAAAACGCTTAGGTGGCAGGAAAACGATGGCTGAAAGCACCACGAGCTCTGCTCGTATCAGGATACGGTAGAGGAGACCTTGGCTTGATGATCTTACGACTCTGTGGGGAATGCATTCAGCGAGCGTTTCAGCAAAATGGGACGGAGCCAAGCCATTCAGAGGCCCGAGGACAATAGGAGGTGGCTTAAAAAGAGTCGTTGAGACAGGAGTGCTATGAGGGCCGAGTTGGCACCGGTGAGTTTAATGATAAAGTTAATGACACTGTTTGCTTTACGGATGTCTGCGCGCGCCGGGTAGCTTTTTCCACGCTGTTTACGTCCCGCGCTTTGCACACATTTCCTTTTTAGAGGGCTGCGCGTGTCTTTACGGGACAGTTTTACAGCATCAAACTGACGAGGCTGCTAAATTTTTCAGCACCTCATGAAGCATTCAGAGGGAACACGGTGTCTGACCAAATGATGTCCAACAGCAACATGGCTGATAATAGCTTCTCCTCTGTCCAGATGGTTGGATGTGACCGTCAGGGCTTCATTTTCTGCTGTTGGAAAAGTAAAGGTGGAGCATCTAGGGTCAGGCCAGGACGTCTGGGGCTGGACTGAGTGGCTCATCTCGGTCTTTGGGCGGTCAGTGACGGCTCTGTGACTGGGCAGAGCGTCAGAGGACCTCGGGAAAAACCGTCAGTGGTGACATTTTTATTGAACCTTGGCTCATCTTTAAACAAGCCCCCCCACACATACACACACACACACACTCATCCCGCTGTTATATGTCAGATTCCCGACAGCATAGAAATGTCATTTAAGATAAACATAGGATGAATAACGGGACTC